AAGTAAATCGATTCATTTGCTTCTCAAGTCCCACGCCAAATGGTTTTTCAATTTATTACAATTAGTTGAGTTACAATTAGCACCTGCTCGAATTTAATTTGTTTGATTTACCTTACATTTCCATTTAATCAATTTTTTGTATACTCATTCATACATAGCATTTAGTTAATGGGTTTACTTTTATACATTTTCTTTAAACTTACGTTAAACAAAATATTTTACTATATACTTTTTAAGGCTCTAGCCAGACTTATTAAAGCCTTTTTGAATTTAATGTGTTTGATTTTGCGTTGATTTCCACCATTCGATTTAATTCATTTTTTTTATTTCATTTTAGCATTTAGCATTTGGGTCTAATCCTTTTAATATACTTTTGTACAATTTGTCTGGACTTAGTTTCGTTAATTTTTCTTTTACTTCCGCACACAAAAATCAATTAAATTGATTGGTGAAATGTAAGGTAATTCAATCAAATTAATTCCAAGCAGGCAATAATAATAGACACATCTCTGTTTTATTCGTTCCTTTATTCCATTTAGTGGTTGAGCTTAATTTTGTACATTATATTTACAAAAATCAAACAAATATATAACTATTTCGAATAATTTGCTATTTGAGGCCTTTGCCAAATGATTTTTGAGTTTATTTATACATACAATAATAGCCGGTTTGGACTTCATCGTTCAATTTGTTCAATATTTTTGTCTCTATATTAATTTGGTTTGTCTTCTTCTGGTTAAACCTTCAATTTACCACATTCTTACACCTCATTGGACAGCAGAGATAGACAATTGTCAGAGTTATGCGTATGTATATATGTATGCGTATGTGCATATGTTCATTGGACACAGAGAGTATGTGTTCTTGGGCTTCCACTCGAACGAGCCATTTTAATTAGGCAAATCAACTCGGTGGGGGCAGTGGGGAATATAAGTGGAAATTGAGATTTCCATTTGACGGAAGTGGACACTTGGCATTGCCATCGTTCGAAGACTTTAAGGAGGATGGCACTTAAAGTCCAGTCATGGTCCTGAAAATCGCATATTTATATATGCATATACATAGGCTGCACTTTTAATACATACGTATGCGTACTGGAATAGTCCGCATCCGGCGTGTTCAATTTGCGGCTACATGAAAAAGGCAGGGACTGGACCCTTGGCTCCTTCCATTTCCGGTTTCCCGCTCCCCCCTTACCACCCTCCCATTGCCCTCTTCCTACCAATTTGATTTTTGGCCGGAGGGAAACGTGGCGGACGATGAAATTAGCACCGCTCCTCCCACTTTGCATATTATCAGGGACTTTCGGTGACCGGACCGTAAGCAATTCAATTAAATCGTTCGTCGTTTTAAAACCAAATAAAAATCCAAATAAAAATCAAAATTAAATTCATGTCGGGATTTTTGCAGAAAAGAAAGAGAGCAAAAGAGAGGTGAAAAGGGGAAGAGGATCGGCCATTCAATTGGCATTTCAATTTGATTTGCTGGCCATGGCCAAAAACGGCCAAGAGCAGAGTTTTTAATGTGCAAATCGTTTGAATTGTTTGAATCAATTAAATTTCTGGCCACGCATCGTCGTCCTATTTTGATTTATTTTTGGCATACATCCTAGGCTGCTTTGCCCTCTTGAGGCATTTTTTTTTTGGTAGGCTTTCAATAAAATTTAATTGAATCAATGGCTTAACAAATCGAAGCGTATAAATTCGTGATGAGTATCGGTGAAGTTAATTCCCCGAAATCCATTAGGCAAGAATTTACACAGATTGCCAAATCGATTGGGCGTGATCGATACATGTGTACGTATACACACATTGATTTGCTTTGCCGTTTTTTCGGTTGCAACAAATTAAATTCAATTATGCTCTATGGCCATTAAGCGATGGAATGGGGCAGTGGCCCATAAATCCAACACAAGTTGTTGCAGCCATCGGCCCATCAATCAATCACTCAGTCAATCAATCAGTGCAACGTGCCAAAAATCAATCTGTCGCACTAATTTCATCAATTTAAGCGTAGTCGAAATGCATTTTATTTTTTTTTTTTTTGCCCAATGTCAGTAGTTTGTAGACTGTTGTATGTAAACTGCTTAATTAGTAAATTGCTTTACATTTGCAGAAAACAAAATATGGCAAGGTATTAAACTTGTTTTCTGTTTTACTGTAGGCACATTATATAAAAATGTACTTTCCCTTTATTTCCTTCTTATTAAATAGTTCGTTTCAATATTGTCATATTATATATATATATTTTTTGTATTTCTTTGTTCCACCGACAGCTAATTTTATTTTTTCCATTATATAAAACCTCATTTTTAATATCAATTTAATTTAAATTTAAATTTTAAATGTCTTTGGTTTGTTTCCATTTATTTCTGTTTCATGCCGATTATTCCATTTCAATCCTTTGCACACACAAATAGTTTGCAAAGGTAAATACAAATTCGACATTCGTATTGTTTAAATGTATTTTTTTATCCTTTTAACTATTTGTCAGTTGTTGTGCTGTTGTTTGATTAATGACCTGTGTCCTAGCTTAAAATGCAGTAACTCTTCTGACTTTTCCCCTTCCACGCTCCCCACAATTCCGGGAGCAAATGACGTTCAGGGAAGAAGGAAAATAAATTACTTTGGTTTGGGACCAGCAAAATGTCAATTTAATTTTGGGCACGCCCTGTGGCTAGAATAAATTGTATCCAGTCTGTCGATTGCACTGATTGAAGGTTTCGATGGGAGGGGGAACGGTATGACCATGGAACGGAAATGGGAACGCAACGGGGAATGGGCAACCGAATGGGAACGAGCAAATTGCATAATGCTAACCGAAATGTGAAATTACGGCGATAGCACCACCGTAATCCACCCAAACCCTTCTTCGGCCCCAAATGAACCACAAACTTTGGTGTGGCCACCAGGTAGGTGCTCCCCTTTTGTGTGTGGGTTAATTTGATTTTAATTATGAACGAGGACGCGACCAGCTGCCCCGTTTGCCTGTTTGCGGTTAATCAACTGTCCATGGCATAAATATTTTGATTGCCACAAATGCGCACCAATGGCCACGAGGGCAAAACCCAGGCCTTGTGCCTCTGACAGGCCCCAAAAATGAGACGCCATTGCCTGCGATGCCACCGAAATGACAATTAAAAATAATTTTAAATGCTGACGGGAGCTGGGATCCAGAAGAGTGAAGCCTAAGGCCTGGAGCCCGAAGCCACAGACATAGACGTAGATGGAGATGGAGCTGGAGCTGGAGACCAGAAGCAGCGCATTTCATTAAAATTTCAAGTCGACTCAACTTTCGAGCACACACAGGAGGACAGCACTTGACAACAAGAGCCACCACCAGCCCAACTAGCAGCTGTCCCACCAGAAGGCCCTTCTCCTTCTCCTCTTCCTCCTCCTTCTCCCTCCATCCATCCATCCATCCATCCATCCATCCATCCATCCACCACTCCAATCCACTTCACTTCACTCCACTCCACATACTTCAGAATATCCTCGCTCAACGGAAGCGCCATTTAAAATTAGTGAAAAAGTTAAAGCCCTAACGGAACGAACAGACAACATGAGCTGCCCCGCAATTAAGTGGAATAGAAGCCCAAAGCGGAACAAAAAGCCCTTAAGAATCGACCAGAGGATACCCGGTAATATCTCCTGAAGGCAGTGGCAAAATTAGCAATTCGCATAACCAAAAGTCTTTTAACTAAAGTCGGATTTCAAAGCTATAGTCTCCACAAATGGTTTGTTCTGACATTCAAATATTTCCAAATTTTTAAAAATGATGAAATATCAAGTTTTTTGTGGCAGGTGAAAGCATTTAACGAGCTTAGTTGCGTATACTCTTTTAAGGAAATGTATATTTTTTTGAAAAAATCTATAACTCCGATCATGTTTATAAAGTTTATAAAAATAATTAGATACTTTATTAAGTTGATTTACTTTTAAAGAGATTTAAGGTTTTAAACATTAAAAAACTGTGTAAATTGAAATAAGACAAACTTACCTTAAGGTACATTAATGTATAAATTATCTTTTCTTCCCTTAAAACAAAGAATTGGCATACATAGCAAATTGTAGTTAAGGTGGTAAGAGTAAAATATTTTGCAAAAAGTGTTTTAAGTTTATACAAACTACTAATAATAATATATTGTAACGCCATTGGGATCCAACACTGAGTAAATAACGAAGGAAATCCAAAAATTTTGGCTCAGATTTTCATCCCATGCAGTTTTTGATTGTTTTAAATATGAAAATAGTAAATTGGTTTTCAATTTTTGATTTGAATTGATTTTTATATCTGTAAATTCCGTTTAAATTTAAAGCATACTTTACTTTAAATTTTTTATTTTCCACATTAATACAATTATTTTTATATTAAATCGTGCAGTTTAATATGCATTACATTTAATATTCAAATTTAATTCAAATATTAAATACCGAATTTTGAACAAAATACTTAGATATTTATTTGCCATTATTTTTGTCAATGAAGTCAATGCCATTGAAATGCTATTCGATCCTGTCCATGAGCCTGTGTCATGGACACAATGCAATCTAGGCATCTGCAGGGTAGCATTCCATACTCATGCCGTTTGTAGGTGATTGTAGCCGTTTGCCAGGGCTAAAATTCAAAACGTCCAGCCAAGTGCTGGCTGCAATTCTACCCCATCCTTGAAGGCACCGACTTTGAATCCCTGCCTCCTGGATTCCACTCCATTGCTCCTGGCGTTCCCATTCGCAGCTCGTCATTTGCACACGTTGCAGTCATTGCTTTGGGTCCTTGTACCCAAATGGTTGGTGGAAAGGTTGGAAAGTGGGAAGATGGGTGGGTTATGGGTCTTTAACCGAACCGAATCGCCTGAGTGGCTCCGCTCGGTTCGATTTGATGGCAGCCCGCAAATCGATTGGAGTCTGGCGGAGTCTGAAACACACAAAATTAAAAATTCCAAAATGCCAAAATGCCAAGTGCTCGCTCAAGCCCGCCCAGGGAAAATGCATATTCGATTGACTTTGCTTTTCGTGTGTATTTCTCGTTTGGTTTCGGTTGCAATCGTTCTCAATATTGAATTTCATTTATTTCGGGTTAGTTCCCGTTTATAGCAGGGCATGCTCTCGCCTAGTTGCCAGCTATCGTTAATCGGTAATCGTTTATCGCTTATCGCTTGCCTTTACTTTTGAGCGCTCCATTGCCATTCGTTATCGTTTCGTTCCGTTCCGTTCAATTCGGTTCGTTTCGGTTCGTTTGGCTTTATATTTTCTTAAACGCATACACACACACACACATATCAGTTTAAGTTAGGTTTTAATAATAACTTAAGGTTAAATAACAATCACATTTACTTATGTTTTTTTTTTTTTTTTTGCTTTCGTTCGACCCAAAAAAAAGTTCTGCACGCTTTACCTAACTTTTATGTTTGATTTACGAGTAGTGTTTGTTTTTTTGGGTTATTCATTAATAATATTCATAATATTTTCTCATTGGCATTCTCGCTCGCCCGTCGGGACTTAATTGTCAATAAAACAATTTGAACAAACGTAAACAACAAAAGTGGTTAATCGTTAGCCAGGGATTATGTTCCACCTATAAACGACCCCTTCACCATATCCATATCCGGGGCATAGTTAATTCCTACTACTTACACTATAACGTGCCACTTGCAGTGCACGGATTTGGGCTTTATTTATTATTCCGTCTGTGTCTGGCTTAAGTTCTAAGAATTTTTCGTTAAAGAGTTAAGTTTTGTTCTATATTTTATCAATGCTGTATATATTGTGGGTAAACCATTAATGTGGGGCAAATGTAGTGGAAATGTCCACGATCTGCATTCATCTAGTTTGCCAATTTTCAATTTTCTTATGCCTATCGTTAGTTATTTAGTTCTCATTTGCTTGGAGTTGAAGTCCTCTTTTTTTGCCTAATTTTTCCATACACACACACGAAAAAAATATACATACACATATATTTAAATATATATATATATATCGACTAAGACTAGAACTATTTTGGTTTTGTTATCGTTTAAAAGGTTACATAATTCTGCTGTAATCACCATATTGGCATTGTATAAATTGTTCGTTTCTTTTTGTAAATTGTATTGGTTTGCTACAAAAGTTCGGCACATTTGATTTTGTCAAGTGAATGGTGTAATTTTCGAAACACGAATATCGAAATGTCAACGATATTTGGGTGTGTCTATGTCCGGAATTTGGGTTTTGGCTTTCTAGCTGCCTTTATATCTATCATTTTGCCTTCGGAAATTTTTAAATAAATACATATGTGGGAAATAGTTATGGAAAATGGAATGAAAGGACTTTAGGCGGCCAGAACATTTGTTTAAATTGAACTCGATCTCATTATTTCAATAAAATCCCTCGTAAAGGAAATTGATGCTTTTGAAACCAACTTATGACCTCCTTTCCCGATTGCTGCCAATTAAAACTCTATACACTAAACCCCAATGGGGATCCGGACACAGGACACATTTTGATGTTATTTGCTGGCCATGAAGTGGCCCATCGAATACCAATTAATTTTACTACAATTATGCCATTGCTGCTACAGGCTTGACATTCATATTTTTGGCTTTTTTGTTTTCCTTTTTGTGTGTGTAAATAATTAGCCTAATTAATTATGCATCATTACATATCGGTAGTTACTCTTTATTGCGCACCTCGTTCCTCTTTTTGGTTTGCCTATGTATCGCATTTCTTTTATCTATTATATCATTTTGTATAGTTCGTATGCAGATTCTATCGTATTTATATTTGATTTTTAATTTGTTTTTGTTCTGGTTTCTCGCATTGTTTGTAGTTATAGACACTGAAATACTCGATAGCCGCATCTCCCTCCAAATGGAGAGGGATTCTGGAGCGATTGGGTGGTAAATATATTATTAAACGGTAGATGGTGGATGGTGGATGGTAGGTGGGGCGGGGAGAGAGGCTGCCAGTCATAAAAAGACAAACAATTAATTATGATTTATTTATATTAATCGCGTTTAATTGTTATTATTCGTTATATTCGAAAATCAACAAACATTAAGTGGAAAAAGTTTCTCTCTATTAAGTGTATATTTAAATTTAAGTTTTGCCACACAGTTTTTGTATTTTTATTTTATTTTTTTTTTTTGGTTTTTGGGTTTTTTTGGGGTTTACTCCTAGTAATCCTTACAAGCTAGTCGTCTCCGTTTCGGGATCTCTACGAGATGCGATGAAAAAAAAAAAACCCGCCGCTTCTTAACCCTTCTTACCTGACCTCTTCAGCCTGATCTCTTAACTGCCGTTCACATCCACGATGGGCAGGGCATGGTTGACATGCATGCCGTTGGTTAACCCATTGCTGCCGTTGCCGCACTGCGTCTGCGATGTCTGCGAGGGCGGTGGCGAGGCGGGCGGCGAGGCGGGTGGTGTCAGGGTGGCGGGCTCCTCTCCGCCGCCGCTCACCACCACGTTGACGACCTTGCCGATTCCATTCCCAGTGCTGACGATGGATGCGGGCTTGTCCTCCAGTTGCTTGCCATTTGCAGGCGGCGGAGGAGTGCACGTGGTGGTGGCCTCCAGGAGCGGTGGTGGTGGCGGCGGCAGGCTGTCCAACTGGTTGGACTCGATGAGCGTGTAGTCGCCCAGCTCCTTGATCTCCTCCGTGGATGGTGGCGCCGGCAGACTCATCAGGCTGTCGTAGTTGGCCTCAGCCTCCGGTCCTGTTTGTGTTTCGGTTTCTGTTTCCTCTGGTAACTCTATTTCTTTTTCAGACTCGGAATGAGTCTCGACCAGATCTGGTCTGGCCTCTATTTCAGGTTCCTCCTTAGAATCGGTCTTAACCACCTCTTTTTGGGGCTGTGAGTCATCTTGAACTGGTTCGTCATTTGGTGGAGAGACTTCCACTGTTGGTGGAGCCACTTCCTCTTTTGGTGGAGCCACTTCCCCTTTTGGTGGCGCTACTTCCTTTTTCGTTGGAAGCACTTCCTCATTAGGTGAAGTCACCTTCTCATTTTTAAGTTCAACCTCTGTCATCTTTTCCGGAATAACTGACTTTTCTGGTGGAGCAACTACCTCCTTTTGCGGTGGATTCTGTACCTCAATCTCTGACTTTCCCAAAACTACCTCAGTTTCTCTAACGGTCACTTGACTTGAACCTAGAGCCTCTACCGAATTGCCAACTTGTGCATCTGTCTTCTTCGACACTTGGCATGCATCGGTATTCGTGTGTTCTAGTTCCTGATCTTGACTTTGGTTTGAACTTATCAAAATGGGCTTGGCCGTGGGTGAACTGGTGGCATAGCCCGGCTGTTCGATGACATAGAGCTCCTGGTTGCCGTAGGAGTAGCGCTTGTTGGAGTCACTCGACGAAGTGGAGCTGAGGTCCGATTGCGAGAGTCCAGTGCGGGCCAATTCGGAGTGGGATTCGTGTGCCGGCTGGGCCAAATCCTCGGCGACATGCTCCTCGGCCTCCTCGATGAGGTGCAGCGGAGCGGGATGGCCGGCGGCAAAGTCCTGGGGCGGTGCATGGACCTGCACCTGCTGTTCGTGGCTGCAAGGCGGCAAAGTCTTGTCCAGCAAATGCCCCCCGTTGGGCGCCACTTTGTTGTCGAAGGGCAATTCGGTGGCGTCCAAGTTCACGCCAGGATGATCGCCGGCCAGCTGCTTGGAGTCGATGCCGCGGGCCACCTCCACCACAAAGACGCCATCCTTGTCCGTGTGCATTTTCGTCTCCCGGGCATTTCGTGAAATGTCCTGCGAAAAGAATGAAGGTTCATTGAAATCGATGGCAGGTGGTCATATGCAGATAAGTTTCTTACACACAACAAAAACACACATCCAGCTACAACATCAATGGTACGACATTGAGAGGGGAGAGCGGAGAGTGGAGGGGGCCGGTAGAAAGTGGCGAAGAACGGGTGGAAAAGAGGTAAATGGGAGTTGAGTTGGGCGACAGAGCGGACAAATCGGTTGGCTGCCATGCGGAAAGTGTCGAAAATTGCATTTGCATATGCTTGTGGCACACATAGACCCCAAGGATACACCATCACACACACACACAGGCACACACACGCAGGCACACAGAGAGAGACACGGGCACTCGCTGGCACACTCACTCGCACACTTAAGTTGACATATAGAAGACACCGGGCTGTTGTTCGGACTCAAATCTGGCCCTTGTTCACTGTCTCATGGCCCGCAGGTGCCCATTGATGGGCCAGGACCACCACCCAAGGACATTCAAGGCCAGGACAAATGAACAAGTGGAAAAGTGGAAAAGTGGAAAAGTAGAAAAGTGTTTCCCCAAAGTGTCAGAGGGCGAGAGTGCGGTAAACAAAGTACTTACTTAACACAAAAGGTTCAGAAACAGAAGCAGGAAAGTGCGGAACCCAATGTAAAGTAATTCAATAATAAAATAAATTAAATAATAATAAAAATGAATGTAGCAAAGAAAGATCTGATAAAAGACATACGTGGGTTATACGAGCTACTTTCAATAGCTTTTTATTCATTCTTGTGAACTTAAATAAATATAACTCTTAATAAAAAGGTTTTAATGGTAGTTAACTTAAAAAAAATGTATAGTTTAGTTAATAGGTGCTCCCAGTAAACATCTACACCCATGTTTGTTTTTTTTTTTTTACATCAAACTGAAATACTTAATCAAATCAATCATAAGTGCCTATTTTTTTGTGTTTGCTTAAGGGTGCATCAAGAAAATAATGTACTTGTTGGATGCAATCGAATCGCTTCTTCAAGGATTTCGGTAGTGTGCGCAAGTCAAGGCAAGATGCTTGGTTGGACGGCCACAAGGCACAGCGAACTAACTACGACAACATCCAGGAGTGTCGAGCAGAGAGGACAGAGCAGGACAGAGCACGACAGAGCAGGACATCCCGGCCAGATATGGATGGCGGGGGGCCACACGAAGACGGTCTGATCGGATGACTAACGAACTTACGTGCCGCTCCTCGGTGACAACAATCAGATGATTATCTTTGAGCGTTATCTTGGTGACGGAGCCACAGGGAGCAAAGCCGCCATCGTCACCACTAGAACCACCAGCAGAGCCACCAATGGAGCCACCCACTTGACCCACACCCACTGTCCCCGCTTCGAACCGAAACTCGAGGCACTCCACACCAGGCGACACAAAATGGCCTTGACTGACGCCAGTTGGGGGCGTGGACATGGGCGGTGGGCGGTGGTCTGGGCGTGGTCGTGGGGTGGTGCTGGTGGTGGTGGTGGCGTTGGCGGATGCAAATGCCGTGCCAGATGATGAGAATGACGACATTTTAGACTGCAAGAGGCGAATAGAGGGAGAGAGATAGAGAGAGAGAGAGAGAGAGCAAGCTCTGTACTTAACTGGAATGCGAATGCGTATGCGTATGCGAATGCAATTCACGCACACACTTCGACGCTTTCACACACAATCTTGGCTCGCACACCATCAAAGGGCAAGAAAATTTCATTACCAGTCAAGGGAATTCATTTCCATTTCAAGTCAACTCAAGCTCCATTTAAACTTGAACCCTAACCTTTGGCTACATCTGTGCAGTCTTGAATTTTGATATTAAATTTCATTTCACATTAAATCTGTATTTGTTTGCATCAAACTTTGCATCAGCCTTTAAAATAATAATTTTAAGTTTAAACTTAAGCCTCAAGTTCAAATAAAGTTTTTAATTCAAAAAAAATAGTTGTAACATTTTGTATATTTATGGAGCAAAAAAAAAAAAACGTTTTAAACCAAATGGTTCTTTGTTCTTTGTTTTGTAATTTCAATTTAAACCAAAAATATGTATAGTTTCACTCAAATAATAAAAACTTTTGTACATCATCGGTTTTGTCAAAGCATAAATGGGTTTTCCTTTTTTTATAGAGCTATTAAACACCTTTATTGCTTAACTATTGAGTAAACTTTAGTTTAAGACCCCTTAGTTTCACCATCCAACCGCAGTTTCGTCTCAAGTTTTGGCCTTTCAGCTCTCAATTTCAGTGGGAACGCAATGAACGCAATAAAATTTCCACCGGAAATTTTAGCCATTGTTTAATTTTGTCGAGAGCTCGTGAGCAAGTGCATCCAAAGGGGGCGTGGCATGGTGGGCAGGTAAGAGTTGAAGACACTTGCTGATGGCACTTGCGTTTCAATTTCAATTTCCATCAAGAGTGTGGGTGTGTTGGGATGTGGTGGTTGTTTGGTGGTTTGGTGCGGTAGGTCGAGGCGGTGGGTGGGTTGCTTGCTTTTCAGGTGGGCTGGGGGCACTGACTTATATTCAGATATGCGCTATGAACTCACCTCATGCTTGGAATCCTGGCCCTGTTCGCTGTCGTCGCCCTGGGCGCCACCCGTGCCTGATCCTGCGTTCTTACCCACGACATACCTGCAAGTAGGGGAATGGAAAGAGACGGGGTTAGTGCGCAAGCGAGACGGAGACGGAGAAGGTGTGTGTGTGTGTGTGTGTGTGTTTGGGCCAAAGACGGCAAAGTTGTTAAGCAGTCGACGCCTGGCCGCAGCTTTTCGGCGCCACGCAGCCCAGAGTTTCAAAATCCAATGCATTTCTAATGATGCCGCGACTCAAATTAACATTTTGTTGCCTACTTTGCGGCCGCCTGCAATTACCTAGGCAATGGCTCTGACTTCATAAAATGGCAAAAACGAGCTTAAAGGGAATGTCTTCCCCTAAAATCTGATAACGAGAATGCATACATTACACTTACTGCTTCGTTTTGCAATTAGTTTTGCTATTTCATGAGTCTGTGGAGGTCTTATGACTTTATTCCAATTATATTTAACTTCGTTGTACTTAAGACTTAATGGTAGTTACTAATTACATTAGACTTATATATTTAACAAATAAAATATGTAAACTCTTCTGAAAAGTATGAAAAGATAAATGAAGATTAAATTGAATTGATTAAGAAATTAAAGCACACACTTAGAAAAACTAATTCCTTGATTTCATGTTTAAACATGGCCATATATATTAAGGAATACATTATTTAATATGTATGGTAGGCTTATTTTAAAGGCCATGGTATTATTTGTTAAATAAGTACAATTTTTCTAAAATTAAGAAAATTGGTTTTCATGACAAAACTTCAAACCCAAAACCCTTTTACTCAATTAAATAGTATGCACTAGATTGCCACTACAAGCACATTTTTTGGTAAATGTTTTTTTTAAGCAAAAAGCTCCTTTCTTGGCACATCCCATTTAAATTTATTTATATTACTTTTATTCCATTCGAAACAGTCCAAGTACCTATTCCCCATGAGAAATACAACCTACTAAATTTTAAGGTCCGAAATAATCTGGTAATGTGTGCTGCCCGAAAATTCCTCAAGTTGGCTTCGAAAGCGCCATAAATATTATTAGCACATCCATGGGAAAGTTCCGTGAGTGATTGAGTGGGTAAGTGGGTGAGAGGGTGAGTGGGTGAGTGGGCGAGTGGGTGAGTATCTGGCGCTGTACCGAAAGTATCCCATTGTCGTTTTGGCCCCACCAAAAAAGGGACGTTGTTGCTCTCGTAATGCTATTGGCACTCAACAAATTTCAAGTTGGGTTGTCGAAACGCCGCCGAAACGAGCCACACGCACAACTAATTTCTCGTCTCAAGAGTTTATTGTGCAATTTCCTTCCAGACACCAGCATCTCAGTATCCCAGCATCCCAGCATCCCAGCATCTCAGCATCCTAACATCTCAGCACCAAAAATACGCACAAGGAGCCACAATGTCCTGACCCGCAGAAGGGAATAAGGCAAATAAATTGTGTGTTTCCTTTTTATTTTGACGCTGCCTGGCTTTTCACGGCACCTTTTTTTTTGGGGGGGGGAGTTTTGGGGGGGGTTTGGGACAACAAACTGGCAACGTTTGCGGTTGCCATTTGCCGCTTTTATGAGTTTTTCCTGCGGCATTCGGCGAAAAGCTGAAAAAGCGGGAAAATCAGGAAAATGGGTCTTAAGCAGGGGCACAGGAATCACCTTCCGAAAGCAGCTGCCTTGTTAGCTCCTGGCATCTACATCATCTGTGAATGTGAATGTGAATGTGAATGCGAATGAGGATGTGTTTGCGGCGACTTCCGTTTCCGGCCTTGCCGATTCCCGATTCCGCCGCGTTGATTTGTTGAGCCTTCAGTTTTCTCAACCTGACACCACCCACAATCCCCCAATTTCCCCCGTCACTCTCCGATTTCATTTTGTTTGGCATTTAGCGCCCAGAATTATATGTGTGTACACAGGGGGAAATGCCATTTCATTTTTGACAATTTTACAATAAGCCAATTTATTGAGTGGACAAATTGACATTAAGAAAATTTTGGACCAGTTTTCTTAAGGGCCAAAAGAATGCCACAATCTGTATTATACAGCCTTTACTATTGCAAAGCTGGTAATAAAAAAAAAAAATAAGGAAAAATTTAAGCTACTTACATGAATATATGCATGTAAATACATATTTAAATGCTTGAACCAAAAATACGCATAATACATGTCACTATGATTTTAAACACTCTTAAAAAAGCAACAACTTAATCCTCGTAGGTTGAAAATACTTTTAAGTAACGTAAAAACGCTTAAAAAATATGTTTATGTATTATAATATACTCCACGTCTATGTATTTTAAAACATTTTCAAAAAAGTGGCCACCACATTAAAAATACTTTCAAAGAAATAAAAAAGAACATATACAAATAGTTTTGTATTGTTATTCATGCCACTTTATTTTGAAATGTCTCTAATATTGTAGAGCATTTAAAAATACTCTGAAAATACCAACAACTTTGTACATTTAGGTGAAATACTTTTAAGCAACTAAAAAAAAGTATTTCTGAAATAAATGCCAAAGAACATGGCTCTTTAGGTAGCAACAACTTCATCGTTATAGGTTGAAACTGCTAAAAAAAAAGGATAATAAATCAACTGACTATGACCCACTTTTTCTTGCTGTGTGTATATTCGGATTCGTATTTATATATATATAAATCCACATCTATAGAAACAGCATGGCGAAGCTGCTTTCAACCCAATTCGTGGCGTGCCCAAGATTTATGTATGGGCCAGAACTGCGGGCGCTAAAGGATGTGCGTCCCTGGCATTGCTCTTAAATTGCCACCACCCACTAGCCACCACCTGCAGACCACACACCACCCACCGCCGACCTCCCAAAACTCCGTCACAGATTTGTCAATGTTTTGTTGCTGCTTCAGCTGCTGTCTGTCGCTGGCAATGCGAATTGCGAATGAGAAATAAAATGCCACGGATGAAGCTGATAAATGCGATTTGCCACGCCTTGCTTGCTGCGAGCGCCGCGGGAAATGCTGGGTTCTGAAGTTCTGAAGTTCTGAAGTTCCGGGGTCAGGGGTCAGGGGTCAGGTGGGTTGCCATGGCAAATTGCTTTACATTGAGTGCATTCTTCTGCCATGCGTGGGTTGCCGCTCAAAAGTAGGCAACACATTTCGTTCCCCTTTAAAATCCTTAAAATATATACACGGTAATTTTTCGCTTTCTCTCTATTTATGAAACATATCAAAGTGATGCAACCAAGACCAATTTTTGTACAAGTATCAATTTTTTTTTCCTGTGTAGCTTTAGGGCAAACCCAGTGGCGGAAACGGATTAGGGTTGCCCGCCACTCAGGACTCAGAATCCGCACCCACATCTGCTGTCTTTCTATTTTAAGGTGGCTTTAGCCCAGCTCATCCTATGCCCCTCCCCCCCCCCCCTCCCTCATCGCTTTCTTTACCCCCCTCCCCCCCTCTCGGTGCGACTGTCACTGCTTTCTCGCAATTTCTTGCAATTATTTTTGATTTGTGTGGGACATTGCCGTCTAAGCTGATTAAGCGCCACACGAGGCGTAACCAATTAGCTCAGCCAAATGGCTAAGGAGCTCAGTATAAGAGGCCATACTGTCTGGGTACAGTTGGCCCCAAGAATGGCAGTTCCATCTTTTTGGGGGGCGGTGGGAGGGGGAGGGGGTGTTTGAGGTTAAGCGGGCGTTGGTATCTCCATCAATTTACGAGGGTTCGATAACTATCAGATGGCTTGAATTGAGGGTGACACTTTACAAATAATGTATATATTTATTTATTTCCAGTTGGCCAAAAGCGCTCTCTACAATTATTTCTTATTTATAACCACATGACTTACAATTTTGTACTCATGGATTTTGGGTTATTTACGATCATGTATTTGACATATTTCCAACAAGAAAAGGACTCTTTTACTTACACTCAAATTAAAAGTAACCCTCAAATAAATATTATCGCCACAAAACTTTATTTTGTTGTCAGTCCATTAAAAAGTTTCTTGTAAAAAACAAAATTTGTTTCCAAAAATAAGGAACTATTTTTTTAATTAAGTCAATTTTTTTCAAACGTAGAAATGGTTGTATAAACTAAAATCGCATTAAAAGCAAAACAAAATTAAGTAAAATTACTTTAGTATTCCCAACTATTAAGTGTGTCTTCTATAGTAGATTAAATAACATTTTATTATTATTGTGTATATGATTTCTTGTTGGTCGGTACTTAATCTATTTATTTAAAATAGAAAATATACCTTGTGCGATGCTTTAGTTTAATATTTCTAAATACAAAATAAAATTACATAACCCTGAACATATATATGTTAGTCTGCTTTTCTGTTCCCTAAGAAGTACTATTTTTATACCTATGCAAAGGATTTTAATAATGTTTAGGTTTTATTGTTACTTACTTAATAGCGCAGTACATGGACACCAGCAGTGCTGAGGGCAGTATGACAATGATGAGACCCATGGAAACAGCAAAGAGATTGAAGAATCCTGCAAAACCGAAAAGAGAAGGAAGCACAGGTTTGATATATATTTATATATATATATATATATATATAGTTCCACCAACTCACCATCGTAGTCGGCCAAAGGATCCTCGGAGAGGGCAGTGGCATTTGCGCTCCTGCCACTTCCACTGGCCATCAAAGGAGCCATTGCCGAGGCAGATCCCGATCCGGAACCCGATCCGGAACCCGATCCCGACCCCGATCCATTGTCATATCGCTGGAGTAGCGTGGCATTGACCATCTCCGCCACCGGTAGCTGTTCGCGGTGCAAGTGGTTGGCGGATGGGTGGTGCGGCAGGCGGCTCAACCCATGACCATGGCCCTGCTGACGGTGAGCGGGACTCTCGAAGGGATAGGAGCCCTCGACGCCGTCGAAGCCACCGCCTGCTCCATCGTCAATCAAATCGCCGCCATACTGAATGGAACTCTCGATCACATCCGGTTCGCCGTCGATGCTGTTGCTCTGGATGTCGTTCTCGTAGATGCCCATTCCATTCTGGCCCAACTCGCCGGGCATATAGTCGATCTCCTTGAGCTCGATCTGCGGCGGAAGTTCACCAATTACGGGCACTCCAATAGCCAAATCCGGCAGCACAGCCGGTTGGATAATGATATCCTGTTGCTGCTGCTGTTGCTGCTGCTGTTGCTGTTGCTGTTGCTGTTGCGGTGGTGCTGCCGTGCTGCTCCAGCCCTGTGGCTGCTGCTCCACCTCAATGACGGACTCACCCACATAGGTCACGTCCAGCGGTGGTGCACCATCGCCACTCGACGACGACGACGACGACGACGACGACGCTGAGCTGCGGAAGATCTTCAGTGCATCTGAGTTGTGGTGCGACAGCGGTGACAGGATGATGTCCTCCTCGGATAGCTGCTTCTGCTGCGACGACTGCTGTGGCGATTCCATCACATAGCTGGCCGGGAAGAACTGATTCTCCAGTTGAAACTTGCGCTGCTGCTGCTGCTGCTGCTGCTCACCCAGTGGCATAATGGGCATCACCGTGGGCAGCGACTCACCCACCTTGACCTCTGTGTTCGAAATGTAGAAAATTGTGTCCGAATCGCGATCGATGCTGGGTTTCCTGGGTGGCGGCGGTGGTGGCGGAGGCGGTGGTCGCGGCATGGAAACCGAACCACCTGCACCACCTGCACCACCTGCACCACCTGCACCACCGGCAACACCCTCCTTTAAATCAGCCATGAACAGCTCATCGGCATCCTGAACCGTTTGAGGTGGACGCACGGGGGGCGGTGGTGCAGCGGCTGCATCGGAATTGCGGAAGGTGAAGATCGGATTGATGTGCTCGCCGCTGGAAGAGGATGACGATGATCCCGATTCCGCACTACTGTTGTCCGCACTATTGTCGATTATCTCCACCACCAGGATCTCATCGCCCGGCTTGCCCTGCTTGTCGCTCACCAACGAGGGCTGCCTGTAGGAGAACTCCAGATCCTCGCTTTCGCTGCCAAATGCCTCGGACACATTGATGTGAATCTCGATGGCCGCCGGCTCCGGTTTGCCCATAATTGCACCACCAGCACCGCCAGCACCACCCGAGGCGGGTTGAGTGGACGTTGAGACATCCGCCCGATCAATCACATACTGGGTGAACCGCTCCTGCGGCAATTGCAGCTCAAACTCACGCGGTGGCCTGGTGGTGCCCACTTCCACATTCTGCTGCTGCGGTGGTGCATAGAAGCCCTCACTGTCGCGGAAATTCGTCGATGCCACTATGGAGTCCACCGTGGAGTCGTACACTTCGATCTGGATATCAGAGATCTTGGATTCGATGCGAGGTGGTGCAGGTGATTGAGGTGATTGAGGTGATTGAGGTGGTGCAGCCTGCTCATTACTGCTGATGGGCAAAGTGGTCTGGAGTTCGGGCACTTGGAAAACGGTGGTGGAGAGCACTGAAGCAGAGGAGGCTGCTCGGGCCACTTGCGGTGGCTCGTGGGTGGTGCTGGTGCTGGTTACATCAGGAATCTGCTCGAGCAGGGCTGTGGGCGCCAGAATCTCCACCAATCGGCCATTGCGCAACTGGCTCTCAATGGAAGCCACATGCTGGTGGCTTGCTGGCTGCGGTTTCTTCAGCGGATGCACCACACTGAACGTTTTCTCGCCCATAAAAATGGGTCCCAGGTAGCCATTGTGCACGGGCAGCAGGGGCGTGGCCGGGGGCGATGGTGCCTTGGTTGTTGTGGTGGTTGTTGTGGTTGTGGGCACTCTCTCCATCTCCGATTCTATGGTTGTGGTGGCCATGGTGGGTGGATAGTGTTGCTGCTGCAGCTGCTTTTTCTTGGTCAGCTTGAGGCCATCGTGGCCACTGTCCAGAGGTGGGGCCACCGTGTGCTCCAAATCCAGCAGCTGCACCACCTGGAATTCCTTTTTCTTGCTCTTGTTGTTTGCCGGTGGTGCTGATGTCTTATTAACTGGTATTTCAGTGGCTCTTCTTAGTGATTCATTGGCTATGGTTGGTATCTCAGTGGTTGTGCTACTTTCAGTGGTGCTTCTTTCAGTGGTGCTTCTTTCAGTGGTGCTTCTTTCAGTAGTGCTACTTTCAGTGGTGCTTCTTTCAGTGGTGCTTCTTTCAGTGGTGCTTCTTTCAGTGGTGCTTCTTTCAGTAGTGCTACTTTCAATGGTACTTCTTTTTGGGTTGCCTATGCCACTAGCACTTCTTTCAGTGGTGCTTCTATCATTAGTACTCCATTCAGTGGTGCTTTTTTCACTAGAACTCCTTTCAGTGGTTTGCCCTTCAGTGATGTTGATTGCAGATACCCCACTTTCAGCTATTTTAACTGTTGGCACTTGTTTGGCCACCTGTATTTCGTCGGTGGCTCTTGGCATCTCGGTGGTGCTGGTGGTGCTGGTGGCGCTGGTGCTGCCAGGCATTGGTGGGGCCTTGGTAGTGGCCAGTGGTGCATGCTTGCCATCCCTGGTGGTGCTGGCCTCCATCAGCGTGGGCGTGTTGCCCTGCACTCCGATTTCCAGATGGTGATTGTGCTGATGGTGGTGGTGCTGCTGCTGCTGTGGCTGCGCCTGATTTTGCCCCACTGTGGGCGCCGCCCAGCCACCACCGCCCAATGTGGTGGCCAGCAGAAGCAGGAGCACCACCCAAGAGAGGCCACGCCCCCTGACGCCCAGTGGAATGGACATGTTGCTGTCGGGAATGTTGCTGCTGGCTATGTTGCTGCCTCCTTTTTGATTTTTGCTTTTGGGCGTTGGAGATTCTGCGGAATCTTCTGTTTTGTTATGTAAATTAAGTTTTGATTCTGCTTGGTTAGCGAAAAATCTTGTTGCTGTTGCTGCTGCGTGTTGCTGCTGCTGCTGCTGCTGCTGCTGCTGCTGCTGCTGCTGTAGCTGTTGCTGTTGCTGCTGCGTGCTGCTGCGGTTGCCTTTGGCACTTAAATTCTCCCTTCGCTCAGCTTGTTGCTGGCACTTGGCATTGTGTTGTGGCTCTTGAAATTGCAACTCGACAACGTCGTCATCATGCGCTTGAGCGACTTCGTCTGCATCATCGTCATCATTATTATTATTATTATCATCATTATCATCGGCGTTGCCGTGCAATGTTGCTGCTGCAGCTGCTGTAGGTCTCATTCATTTTGCTGCTGTTGCTGCTATTGTTATCGCCGCTGCAATTGTAAATGTTGCCGTTGTCGCTGCGGCCATTTTATGCGGCTGCAGCGCCGCTTTACACGCTGCTCGAGCTCTTTGTTGGCTTGAAAATATGCACTGCCCAAAAAAAAAGGGGCCAGAGAGAAGGGGTCTATGTTGCTGCTGCACTTGCCGCCTCAATACCCGCTTCTGTCCCAGTCGATGTTGCTGCTGCAGCTGCAATATCTTCGCTTTGCAGCCTCTTTCGATCTGTTATTTCGATTTTCTTCTCCTGTCGCTCGTCGCTCCAAGGCATCCTGAATGGAAATGAAATTTGAAATAACGAAATAACGAAATCGGCTGGAACAACAATTTAACGTATTGTTGTTGCCGCTGCATTGCATTGCTCGATGGCAAATCCAATGAAACTAATGAAGCAACAGCAATACGGCAAAGCGAAAGACGAACGTTTAGAGGAAAATGTGAAAAGTGTTGGCCAAGATGCCATGTCGGAAACAATAAGGAGCAAGCGAAATAATAGAGAGGAAAAATAAAATAAATCTATGGGGGAATAAGTCAAACTGCCTTGAGTGTTTCCTAGAAAATATTTATTGCTCGTAGTTTAGCTCTTAAGTGGGCCAAAATGTGCTTATTACTCTACTCCATTTTGGTTTATCTGCATTGTGCTGAAAGTCGAAAGTCTAAATGGATTTGCATCCACAGTAATATTGCGTAGCAAAAATGTGCTTCATTCTGACCAAAAAGACATTAAAATCGTTTAAAACACAACAATTTAATAAATAAAAAGTAACCATTAAAAATTCTTATTGCTATTACATAAATCTACCTATGAAATTACCCTATTCTCAATTGTTAAAATAAAACCATAAGGGCTTGAGCTGACTTTTTTGCCATCCCCATTAATTTGTTAAGGCCAATGAAAGCCCAAAATTTTCCACACAGACTGCCACTACTTTCAAGAAAATTCCAACTCAGGTGTTTAGCGGCCACTTGAGTATTTTATCATCAATCAAGCTGCAATCTTTTGGTTTTCCCAGCTTCATTGTTTTTTTTTCCAAACTCCCCAGATATATTCCTCAAATTCGTGGCATACTTTCGACCTTAGAATAAAAAAAAACTGTTGCCGCTGCCTTTTTTAAATTAGTCAACTGCTATGGAAATTTGGGCCACAGAAAGTTAAAATTTAAGGTAAGGATTTCCTTTGAACCATTCGATGGTGGTGGTGGTGGTGGTGGTGCGGCGACCAGACCATGCAAATTAAATATAAAGCCTACAAAATGATTCGATTTCACAGCCCTGACCCTGATCCCAAGCTGGGGAAAAAAAGGTTGTTGCAAGGACTGAAAGGGAAAAATGCGAATAGAAATGGGCCAAAACCGCAGGCGGGTTGGGGCACAAAAGCTTTCAATTCGCTCATCATCATGGTCATCGTAACAAGTTGCTTATCATGGCACCACCGCACCGCACCGCACCACCACCACCACCACCAACCTTTGACCCTTCATTTCGCAACTATTGTGGAAGATCAAAGGGCGCAAAGGGAAAGTGTGCGGCTGCAGGAAAACAAATGGACGCCAAAGAGGCGCCACACAAAAGCGGATGTGTAATAAAGGCGTTGATAATGGCAGCCGTAATGATATGGAAGGCAAATCTATAAATACACAAAATCCACATGTACTGGTAGAGCCCCGTTCTTCCGGATTTGGGGCACAACATTTGAGCCGAAATATATAATTAGATATTAATATCTTCATAAAAAAAACATAAGCCCCAAACCTATCCTATGCCAAAATATCCAAAAATATATGAAATATTCTTGAATACTTAAAATATGAAATAAATTCAATGAAGCCGCATTATAAATATAAAATCTTTATAAAAGCAAATCGGCTTTAAGTGTTGAATATATAAAAAACAATTAATTTCTTTCTACAAATAAATAAAAAAAAATATTTGCCTTCAAATTTTTTAAATGTTTCTTTATACATAAAGACTTTCTTACAAAAATTTTATGTAAGTGTTTAAGATAATCATAATTGATTCATAATTGAATAAAACATTTAAAAAGCAGTTAAATCGCTAAGGGCAAAAAGATTTTTACGATAAAGCAAAACTCATTCAAATTGATAGAACCTAAGAAATGTCCTTTTAGACTATTGCAAATCAACAGTCAACAGCATAAACAATTAACAAAATACTTTTGGGTTCTCAGAAAATATAATTGAAGCACATTTATACATCTAGAAGCAAACAACAGCACTTTATTATTATTTTAATAATGAAAATAAGACACGGAAGGTTATATTTTGATGTCAACCGTGTTTGTTTATATATGTTTCAGACTCACCGACAGCAAAGTTATGTCTGCCGATTCTGCTCGCCCCGCAAGGTAATCCAAGGGTCCTTGCAGAGCCCAAAAGAAACACCCAACTTTTCACGCTCGATTCCCTCAAGTCACATAAAATAGTCTTTTGTTTTGATTTTCCATTCACAGAACTTGAGTTTAAATGTTTTCTTTTTTATCAATTGTTCATACACTGTGGGCACTGCAAAAAATTGAGCAAAAAAAAGAAACTATAAACGATATTACACCGTGAGTAACCGCAAGTGAGTTCGTAATTGTGATTGCAGCGGCAAACAGCATTAAAAAACGCGCAGGAAACGCGCCAAATTTAAGGATAATTTACTAGGACCTCGCATTGGGTTTTTGTGGTGGATTGGGGGGGAGGGGGAGGGAGGGGAATGTTGGATAAGGGGGGATGGTGTTGGAAGGAGAGGCGAGATTATAAACTCACAACTCCTTTATGGAATTGAACCCGCTTAAGTTGATTCTTCGGCGGCCGCTGTTTTTACTGCTGTTGCTGCTTTTGCTGCTGCTGCTGCTGCATCCTATTGCTCCGAAAACCGCACGCAAACTGCGCAAATTTCAAAGCATCCTTTGCCTTAAAGGACACTCGACGATCCGGCAGTTCGGATGAATTTTCGCCGACTTTTGCCGAGCGCCACGAAGTTCGGAGTCCAGAAGTGCTGGCTAACGCGGCAAAACACGCGTGGAGAGTTTGGAGACTTTCGCAGCCAGCTGCTTGGAGGTTTGTGTCTCGACTAAAAATAGCAAAAATAAAACAATATGTTCACTAATTTATTAACGCTTTATAGTGTAATTTAAATTAAACCCTATGATTTTAAGTTTTAAATTTTGTTAACAATTGCTTACAAATTGGTTTTCCTTAATGGGTGTGCATTAAGTTTAAGTTTAAGGCATTTAAATATTAATGTTGTCATATCTATCGATTAACCACTATGGTAGTTGTCTTGGAAATGCTGTTCACAATGGAGAATATCTTGAATAGATTTTTAGCTGTGCGTCAAATGTTGGCCAACAAAAAAAAACACTTAAAAAAGTCGTTCGTCTTAACCCAGATTTTCCACCAACTTTTTTGGATTAGGGTGACCCATCTTTAAAATTGGCAATCGGCTGTGGTATATTTATGGTATTTTTGTCTATTTGCCGGATGGTATATAATAACGGTTACGTAGGGCGGTCACACTGCCAGCCGAGTTGTTCCCACGGTCCGAATTGAATTTTAAGATTTTTCCGACAAAGAAAATGCAGAAAAACTGAAAGTGTAAGGGAAGAGCCCACTGACTGATTGCCAATTAGCCGAACACGCTTAGCTAAGACGTTTTTCCCATTGTCCGTCCGGGGAAAGCGAAGAAATCGTCGATTTCGGGGCGGCGTCCCCCCGCAGAGCGAGACAGCAAGAGAGGGTGGAGCAGGAGGAGGTGGAGGAGAAGGAGGAGAAGGAGAAGCAGGATCTGGAGGATATAACTCAAAAACAATGACCACCCAGCGGACGCAGGCGAGGAATGCGGGCAATTCCGATTCCGACTATGAGACACTCATGCAGCGCCTCCACATCGGCGGCAGCAGTGGCGCTGGGGGCGGGGCAGCGGGCGTAGGCGGTATCCCTGGAGATGGGGGCGCGGCCGCCATAAGGAGCTACCAATGCTCGCCCGGGGCCATCGAGAACTTTGTGCAGGAATGCCACCAACAGCAGCAACAGCAGCAACAGCAGCATCAGCAGCATCAGCAGATGCACCACCTGCACCACAACCAGGACTACAAGTTGTACGAACGCGGCAACATCATAGCCGCCTCCAAGTACGCCACGCCCCGTCCGGTGGAGCAGCTGCAGCAGCACATCCACAATGGGAGTGCTCATATCTATGCACCCACCGCCCAGATTTTGGGTCAGCGGATTGCCCCCCAGAAACACTCGCCGGTGTACGAAAATCTGGAGTTCTACGGCCAATTCGATTCGAATCACAAGCGGGCACAGCCCCAAAGTCCCGGCAGCCGGCAGAGCGCCATGCTGAACGACTATCTGCTGATGCAACCCATTGGGGCAGGGCGATTTGCACATACCCCAGTGCCAGAGAATCCAAGCACTGGAGCAGCAGCAGGAGGCAGGGGTGCAGGCAGCGGACGATCTGCGGCCCTGGGACCAACTGGTGACCTGGAGGAGCACGCTGCCCCCATCTACGAGAACATCATTCCCCATTCCGGCCAGCGGGCACAGCCGCAGGCGTCGCCGGCCACCGCCACCATGTACCAGGAGATGCAGCCCACGTCCAACTCGTCGGGCGGCTCGTCCACGGCCGGACTGGATCTCAATGCGCTGCTGGCCTCGCCCATGCACCATCAGCGCAGCATCAGCAGCAATACGGCCAGCGTCAGCTCCGTGGGATCGCCCACGCAGCGGTATAGGAACCTATCGCTGCCCAGCCACCTGAGTCCGGTGCCCACGGCCCAGTCGGTGGCCAAACTGCAACAGCACACACCGATTAAGTCGCCCGGTGGCGGTGCCATCAATGTCTCCGTCAATCCCAATTACATCGAGGACATCAACAGCTCCGACTATGTGTGCATGACGGCGAATCTGCACAGGAATACGCCAGCGGGATTGGCCACTGGCCGGGCGGCAGCAACGGGAGCCACTGCCCAGCGTACCGTCCAGGAACCAGCCACGATATCATCATCCTCCCTGGCCATGGGCATGGCCACGGCAGCGGCGCCAGCATCCACATCCAGTGCAGCGACGGAGGCCACAGCTGCGCAAGCTGCACAAGCTGCACAAACTGCACAAACTGCACAACCACCGCTGTCCACCGCCTCCCTGAGGGCCACGCCCATCGCAATGACAGCCCCTCTGGCGGTGGCCACATCACCCACACCCTCGCAGGGCAGCACAGGTAGGCACAGATCTCTTCCAGAAACAGTACAGACCATCAATGATGGTAAATTAACTTTAATGCCCAGGTGGAGTACTAAAACTATATGCCAAAACAAAGAAAAGCAATGGTTATCAGTACCACGTATAGTCAAAATTAAATTCCCATTTGTAAGCTCAAAGTACGTCTTGCTAAAATTAAAAACAATAAATTACTAAATACTTTAATTCTCAATATTCCACATAAATAAATATTTAAGACCAGCGTTAACTAAAGCTTATTCCTTTTGCCAATTATATTTATCATATTTTATATATACATTTCTTTGCTATAAAAGAGTTAAATTTCTATATTAAAATACTTAAAACAAAAATCAAAAATATACTTCACTTAAAATGATTTTTCTTAATCACTGTCATAACAGTTTATTGCATTGGCAAATAATTTTCATTTTCAAATATCTTGTTATAATAAAACTAAAAAAAAAGTACTATTGTTAAATATTTATTTTTAAAAAATATATTGAAAATAATTTTAATTGTTAAACCTTTTTCCAGTTCTTTGTTATAATTGATATATAGTAAATATAGTAAATGGTATTATAAAAACTTCCATATAAAAATGATATTGAAAATGTATGCCACCTGGGTATGGATGGTAACATACAAAGTATTTACCTAGATACCTATTAATCAAACTAATGAATCCAAATGTTTACCCCCAACCAAAAACGCTTGCACGCAGCCGTTAATGCTGCCTTGAAACCCAGGAGAGGTACGAGGGGTCTCGGGGGCCAAGATTCGTTGCCCAAAAGGGGTTGGGTCCCAGTTGGGTTACGTTTGTGTCATCACTCATCGCTCAGCTCAATCATAAACCGGTTGGCGGGGCGACAAACTTTGGTCAAACGGTTGCCGCTAACCGGTTTATTTTCAAGTCCTTATCCTGCGAAACCGATTCACAGAAAAACGAAACCGATTCGAAATCATGAATCAGAAATGATGGCATTCCAACTAATTTGCTGCAAACACACATATTTTTAACTAATTAATTTTTACACGGCACAAAAAGTTTATGATTTTATTATATTAGAAAAAAAATAGAACTAAAACTTTCAAACACAAATAATATACTTTTTAAAATACAGTTACAATGTTTAAAAGACTCACTTTTCGAAATTTTGATATTGACAAGTAAAAGTCATTTATTGATATTTTAAAAACAAAATCAATTGATACATTAAAAACACATCTTTTTAATTTAGAGTGCAATATTAAATTATAATTGGTCTTGTTGTTTTTTTTTTTTTATTATATTTTTATCCTAGGCATGCAGTTTTGGTTATGTTAATGATTTCGAAATCGTAAATTAGTTTATCTGATAAATAATAATCATGTAATCATTAACTTTAGAAGTTCTACCGACTTCACTCACCCGCATATGTTTTTGTTTTTGAATTTATTTATATTTTGTGAGCGGTGACTAAGCCAAGTCGAAGGCATGACCTAATGTTTGCCTCGTACTCCGACAGGTCTCACCAAGAATCTGCTGCCGTACAGCGTCACCCCGCCGCGTCCGGCTGGACCGACAGAGGCGCAGCGCAAGATCGAGGAGCTCACCCGCCAGCTGGAGGAGGAGATCGAGCAGAGCGAGGAGCACGGCGAATACTTTGGTATGTCATCATTTGGCACCTGGTCATTGTGTACACATTGTGTTTCATGTCGATCATTTCGATCATTTCGATCGATTCGTAGGCATTTGCCACACCTGCGGCGAGAAGGTGAAGGGCGCCGGTCAGGCCTGCCAGGCCATGGGCAATCTCTACCACACCAACTGCTTCATCTGCTGCTCCTGCGGACGGGCGCTGCGAGGCAAGGCCTTCTACAATGTGCACGGACGGGTCTATTGCGAGGAGGACTATATGGTAAGCAAGTGGTCGTAGTCTGGTCGGGATTCAAAACTAATGATTTTCATATGTGATATACACCTTTCATTTTTGCGAATACACTTTCCTAATTGAAGATTTTTAAAAGCTAAAGCAGTATTCCCCAAAAATATGGAACCAATTGGAAACAAATTGTATTTATCAATTTAATTTTGATAATTTTTTTCAATAGCAGATTTTTTAATATTTTTAAAAGCTAAAGCAGTATTTCTCAAAAATTTTAAACCAAATTGTAACAAATTTTATTTGTATTAATCATCAATTTATTATGAATTTAATTTTTATCAATAGCAGATTTTCTGTATTAAAACTTGTGATCTTTAATTTTAACATATAATTCATAAATATAATTTTGTGCCATCTGTAATCCTGTAATCTTTTGATCAGCAAGTCTACAACCAATTACCTTGTATGTAATAATGTTTAAGGAAATGAAATATCTCCCATATAGAAATCGTTATTTTTACCCACTGACATTGATAAATTTTGATTTTGTTACTTATTATTTTACTAACCCTGTTTAATATTAATAAGCAATCATTGTTGCAGTATTCGGGCTTCCAGCAGACGGCGGAAAAGTGCGCCATCTGCGGCCACTTAATCATGGAGATGGTTAGTACAGCCCACTCGTATCCATCCCGCTCTAAACGGAGTGCTCACATCGCTTTCCCACCAACTCTCCCTTGCAGATCCTGCAGGCCATGGGCAAGTCGTATCATCCGGGCTGCTTCCGGTGCTGTGTGTGCAATGAGTGCTTGGACGGGGTGCCCTTCACCGTGGACGTGGACCACAAGATCTACTGCGTCAATGACTACCATCGAATGTTTGCGCCCAAGTGCGCCAGCTGTGGCAAAGGTGGGTGCTCCTTATTATGCCACACTTTGTGTTGTCAATGAGAATATGGAGAATGCTTTTCCAATCCCGAACAGGCATCACCCCCGTCGAGGGCACCGACGAGACCGTGCGTGTGGTCTCAATGGACAAGGACTTCCACGTGGACTGCTACATCTGCGAGGAGTGCGGCATGCAGCTGACCGACGAGCCGGACAAACGCTGCTACCCGCTGGACGGGCGACTCCTCTGCCGCGGCTGCCACCTGCAGCGTCTGGCGCTGCAGTCCTCGCCGCATGCCCGCCACCAGGAGCCCGTCTGCGCCTCCTATCAGTACATGGGTTGAGCAACCGCCACCTTCGACTGGAATCCGCAGAACAACAGAACAAAACTATCGCAATCAACTTATTCCAATTAACAATATTATCTTAAACACAGACAGAAGTGAAAACAAATGCATTTATACGAAACGAAACGATCGATAAGTAACGTGGCTTTCTTTTTTATTATTTTTATGGCAATGCATGAGGATCTCCCAAACGGATCTATTGGAAAATATGTAATGGATTCCTAGACGAACATCTCAGACAATTGGCAGTACTATTTTCATATGCTATTTTGTGTGTTTTGTAAATGTCCTGTCCGGGTTTTCCCGATACCTCGCGAGGTTTCTTATCAACTGCAACCGATGTCTCAAACAATGCAATAAATTATTTTATTCCGATTTGTCAAATGTATTGTGCAAATGTATTATTTGGTTTAAAAACTCTCAATTCTCAAGTGTAAAATTTCGCTTTTCAACTGTTTTAGAACAACTAATTAGCATTATTCAAGTTCATTTAGCAATTTCACTTAAAATTAACACTCACTAATTTCTTACACTGCAATTTTAGGTATAAAAACGCTTCTTTGTCATAAAATGAAAATGGTTGAGTAAAGTTTTGGAGTGCTTTAAAGTATATTTCATGCAGCCAGAGATTTCTCACTGGCACCCCAAATAGACATTTGTATCCATGAAAGTGTTTTTCTAAATTCAACAACTTTGAAAATATCCCAACCAGCTTATTCAGTGAAGTAATCTTAGACACAAACTCAGCTGGTTGAGGTGTTTTCAATCCGGCTAGTGTTAGTTAGCTAGTTAGTGCATAAGGATCTCCAGCTGAACGAGCCGCTGGTTGGTGGTCGATGGCATGCGGTACGGAACACTGGCTGCCATGTTGGTCAGCGCCTTGGCTCTGCCCCGCAAATGTCGCAGGCTGGCTTCCCGGTTTTCGATCTTGGTTTCATCGCCGTAGACCGAACCCGTGCCGCTGGTGCCCCGCTGAGCGACATACTCCGCATAGACAATGTCCATGGCCGCCAGCAGGATGTCGGGCAGCACCTTGATGATCTCCGGACCCATGCGTTTTAGGTTTGTGACACACTCGTCCACCTCGTTCGAGTTGGCCGGTATCAGCCTATTGTTGGCCAGTATTTTCGATGCCAAACGCGATTCGCCAGCGTGAAAGAGATCGAAAAACTCCATTACCTGCGACAACACCGTATAGGTGACAATCACATGGGCCTCCACGTTCGTTTTGCGATCGGCCAGCGCCGCGTCCATACGCTGGGTGACTGCCCTCAGACGCTCCCGCATGCTGCCCGGTCGCGATGGCTGGTGCACCACCTGCGACAGCAAGGAGCACACCAGTCGCAGCGCCTTGTCCAGCTGGCCGGCGATGAAGTACAGCTTGATGGCCGACTCGTAGTTGCTGCGCTTCGACAGCTCATCGCCCACCATTCCGGCCAGCGAGTACATGTCGTAGTCCATCGTATGGAACTCGGCAAAGATGCCGCTGGAAAAGAGAGTGGGAGAGGAAACCATTAGGGCTTGTTCCCCTTTTATGCGTTAAATCAAGAAAATGGACAATAAAGCCAGGGACAGACTACTTCAAAATGCATTGGAAACAATCTACAAATGCTTATTTCGTTATATATCAGATAAAATTAATGTTTGATTAAGTTTATTGTAGTCATCATGTAATGATCTAAACAAGTTCATGCATAGCATAGTTTGATCTACAACGATCCAAAAAAAGGGGAATATATAGTTCCTTAGAAGGTTCATGCATAGCATAGTTTGATCTGCAATGGTTCAATGGTTAAAAGACTATAGTTCCTATAAATTCTATTTAGCACTATACCAAACAAAGCTTGGTAAATGAATTAGAAAAACTCTATTTGAGTAAGATGGTAAAACTGGATTTTTTCCCCATTTAAAACCCCCAAGAGCAAATGGTAAAAGGTTCTTTTGCACAGACTCTATCCATGGTGAGCAGTACGCCAAGATTGGAGGGACAAAAGAAATAACTCACCCCTTGTAGCGGAAGGAGTTGGATCCATCCTCCTCGCCGAAGACCAGTTGCAGCATGCGGTCATCGCAGTTCTCCACGAGCAGATCGCAGACACAACTGAGCATGGCATTGCTGCCGTCCTCGGCCTTGAAGTGTCGCAGCAGGTAGTAGTACTGCAGCGCCTGCTCGGTGTCCGTCTGCTCGAAGAACTTGGCATACATCACGATCAGCCGCACCAGATTGAGACGCTTCATCGGCGGCGGATCGTCGGGTTCGGAGCTGAGGAGTGGCTGTTTCACGGAACTCGGGGCACCCAGCATGCACAGCTCGTTGAGGGCAATGGCCATGTGAACGGCGTGCGGACGATTTTGCTCGGTGCGGGCCAGAAACTCAATGGCGGCCTCAAATTGACCGGTGAGGGCCAGCACCTGGAAGTAGAGCGGCGTCTTTTCGCGCGCATTGAAGTAATTCTCGCCGTACTTGTCCAGGATCATCGATTGCAGGCCACTGTAGGTCAGCTGCTCGATGTTATAGTCGCGCTTGTCCTGGCCGCGCAGAATGGACAGCTGCAGCCAGAGGAAGTCATCGATGCTACGCATAAGTTCCGCGTGCGAATCCTGTGGATCACAGGCCAGCACGATGGCGTAAACCTGATGGATACATCAATAAAATAAAACCCTTTTACACATACATACATAGATCCCAAATACTCACCGCCTTTTTGTAGGGATCTGTGCAGACATGCAGCTTATTGTTGTTGTACTCCAGCTTGAGCTGACCCTCGATCTTGCCCGTCAAGGTCTCCGTATTGCCGTTCTTCTGCAGCGTCATCAGCTTGAGCAGATCGGGACAGACGCCCGATTCCTTAAGGTAGAGCACAGCTGCGCCCAGATCACCGCTTCGCAGGCTATAGTAGACCAGCGGCCACAGCGGCCGTCCATTGTTGACGTCGTGCAGTCCGTAGAGTGATTGAGGATTTCGGAATGTGACGCCCACATACGAGCCCACCAGGTTGTAGACATTGGGAATGCCACCGCGTCGGGCCAGCACTAGATTCTGCTCGATCACCTTGTTCATGTAGGTCTTATATCTGCGCTCCAGATAGGTGCGCGCCTGATGGATGAACTGCGGCGCCGTCTGGCGACTCTGGATGGGATCGATGTTGCGCGACAGCGGCGTCACAGCGGCCATGTACTCCAGCACGTTCCACATCTCGGCCACGAGCGGATCGTCGAAGGATTCCTGGGCCAGCACGGCAAAGGTCGTCACCAGATTGGGACGCTGAGTGCCCTGGATGTGCGACTCATTGTAGGCGGTGATCTTTGCAGCGTACAGCTGCTGGATACTATTCAGGCGGGAGAACGGCGTGGGTTCGTCGGCCATCGATGTGGGCACCATGTGACGCTGCACGTCGGGAAAGTCCTGCTGGCGCGGACCCACCAGAGCGTTCAGCAGCGATTCCTTTTCCTTGCCCCACTCGGCGTAGATGCAGCGCCACTTCTGCCGCTCCACAGACTCGAAAATCTGTAGGGAATGGGGTTGTCCGTGAGTAATGGATCCGGATCCGGATCCGGATACGCTGATGTACTGATGTGCTGATGTGCTGGACACTTACACTGCGATTCGTTTCGTCTATAACAGACAGGATGGCGTTCTCGCGCTCGTTCTTCAGATAGCCCTGCACATCGGTGTCCGTGACGGGATCGAGTGGCTCGAAGGATTGGCGGGCGCTCAGCGTATCCAGTTTCTGCGTCAGCTTGGGCAGGTCCACGCCCTTGGAGCCGAGCAGTATGTGGCTGTCAGTTAAAGAAGGCTTTCATTATAACTACATGGAATAGGGGACGCATGCAGTACTTACGCCTGCAGATCGTTGGTACCCGTTTGGGTGATACGCGAGTGGAGCTCCTGGGTGGCCTGCAGCACCTGCGTCATGGTTCGCTCCACGCCCGGCATCTCCGTGTCCATCTTGGTCTCGTTCGCCAGGCGCTGGGCCTGCTGCAGCAGCTCCACCAGATCCATGTTGGTAAGGAAATGCCGGCGCCAACAAAAAAACACAATTTACAAACGCACACCGGAGCGTGTTAGTGTGGCCAGCGTGTGGCGATTTCCGGAGATTTTCGCGCCATTAATATATCGCCTAGTATTTTTCTATAGTATTTTTATTGCAAGCAATACATTTTAATAAAACATTAGATTTTTTACTCAATTGATGGGTATACAGCTTATGAACAATTTTTCAAAGGCATCACAGTTTCTAATTTACATCGCATTATAAAACGTATAATTAAGATTAAACTTTGTTAACAGTAAAGAGTGTCGTAAATTGGTATTTATTTGCCGGCACAAAAGTGCACTGTCCTGGCAACCCTAGACCAATGGCTTTAGGGAATTTTCCGCAGCACGCTTGGTATATTCGGCCGACAAGGCGAACGGTCACTCAATCGTCAATACGCTTTGGCAGCGCGCAAATCGAAGAACAAACGAACGGCATATTTTTTTTAAACACTCTGTCCCCGTGTGTGTGTGAGTGCGTCCGAGTGTTTGTTTGTTGTGTGTGTGTGTGTATTGGCAAAGGAAATTAGCACAACAAAAGCGAAAAGGAAAAGGAAACGAACACGCACGCATCTCGTCACGCGGATAAAAACTCTTCGATCCGATCAGAAATCATAAATCAGAAATCGTCTGTAATATAATCGCAATTCGCAATGTCGTCCGAAGTGGAATCGCAGCAAAGTCAGGAGACAAATGGAACCAGTAAATTCGATGTGCCCGAGATAGAACTGATCATAAAGGTGAGCGAATATAGCGAACATAGCGAAATTTGCATATGTACATATGCAAACCTGTGCAGAGTTTCCCATTTCGCTTTGCGCAAATGTCCATGCAAAGTGAAAATGCAGCAAAAAGCAAAAGCAAATAAAGGCAACAACAAGCAGCAGAGTGGGAAAACTGCCGTTCGTTCCTCCTTCTCTTCTTCTTCTTCATCGTTTTATTCTTCTTCTTCTCGCTCTGGCACTTTGCAGTGTGTCACATTTGGTTAAAAATGAACAGAATACGTTTAGCACCCCCTCCGGCCCCTCGCCGCACCCCGCCCCTTTCGCCGTCTTGTGGTTCCTAAGCATCGCCAAAACCGGTTTTCTCCTTTTCTACCTATCGCACACACACCTAAACATCTGCACAGAACGAAAATGTTGATATTACTTACATATGCTATTTAAAATCCCTCTTTTATTAAATAAAATATGCAAAATCTTTAGAAAAGATTTAAAATCATTTTTAATGGCGTAAAAAAGTTTTCTTTAATATATTTTACATCCAACTGTTGTTATGGTTAACTGCAGAAGAACAACGTTTTCACTGTATACTTTTAAATAAATTTGTGGGTGATTTCAAAACCAAGATAATTTTGCTACATTGACTTAACTTCCAAATTCGCATGAAAAAATCATTATAAGGCATCCTTTTTTCTTGTTTAAAATGTATAAATTTTGCATCAATTTAAACATGAGTATTCTAAATGAATTTATTAGTAATCGAATATCAATTTAAAAACTATTCCTAATTTTTAAAATACTTCAAACAACACAGTCGATATTTACAAGTTGCTCAAATTTTAAATAATAAATTCATATTTATTATCCAAAATATGTTTTTTTTTTTGTGCGCCCACTATTTGTGTGCAAAGTCTGCAATTTCCAGAACGTAACATATTTCTGTGGTTTCTTATCTGTTATAAACTTTAATCACATTTCATTGCGCCAATTGCTCAACAAATGTTCCTTCTTCTTCTTCATAGTTCCCTTCCCGAAGACCCAAGTTTATTTGTATTTGTCTGTGTGAATTAGAGGTTTTTTTTATCTTTTAGTGATTTCTACATTTCTTGACGCGTACGTCATGCTCCTCCGAAGAATCGAAAAAAAAACAATAAGCCAACTCCTACATTTGCGGTCAAATTAATAGCATTCATAAATTATATTAGCAAATAAATGTCTAAAACTTGTATTATAAAAGTATTTGTATTTTTTAAGTTCTCAAATCAATACTGCTTTTATTTTCATGTACTAAATAATGGGAATTATACTTATTTGATCAATAAATTCTAGAAAACTTCTTAATGTACATAAATAAATGCCTTAGTTTGTTTGCTTTATTTTTTTCAAGTAAGCTTTTCTTATCAATTACATGCTGAAGAAAAACTTGTACAGCAGTTGTTTACTTCAATCATTCATAGGAATGCTATTTTCGCCGATTACAAACCTTTTATTTATAGATCGCAACTTGTGAGCTATCAATTTTGCCGCTATTGTAAGTCGGGCATGACTCCACTTAACTTTATTTTTTGTTGGCTCCCACTGTTTGCCGAAGTAATTGTAATTGTTTTCGGAACACTTTGGAGCCCTGCTGTTGTTGATTCTATTGGCAAACTCAAACTCTCAAACTCGACTCGACTCAACTTAGCCACTCATCCAGCCCACGCAAATGGAGGCCGCACCTCTCGAGTCGTCTGCCCATGACTAATTCCTCACCTTGCAGCACCTCCCTAAATAGTACAATACCGTACCAATCCAAACCATACTATACCATTCCATTCCCAAAAAAAAAAAATCCCACTCGACGCACAACAAAATGCCAATGAGTAATCAGTGATGTGAACGCTAGTACTTTGTTTTTAAGCTAAGAACAAATGTACATTACATTACTAAGAATGATTGTTTGCATTTTATATTAATCATGCAATCAAAGTCTTGATATTTTATAATGAAAACCTTATTTACTAGGTAAAAGATAATGGAAAGTAGTACCCAGATATCCCACCCTCCCATTTCCCATTACCAAAGCCAATTCAAATGCGATGAGCCATGGCCAAAAATTTCGGTGCAAGACACCCGCTCCCTTTTCCTGTTTTTTTTTTTTTTTTTTTTTTTTTTTGGGAGAAAGTGCTTTGGAGCACCTGTTAAATGTTTTGGTTTGTGTTTTTTTTTTTTACTTGGATTTTGGACAGTAAAAAGCAAAAGTTTGCTTTTCCAGAAGAGTGACAGAAGCATCTTTGACATAACTCCGCAACAGCGCACTCCGTACAAGGCGGCGTGTGTATGTGGAAAGCCATTTCCATTTCCCAGCGAAAAAAGTGAAAGTTCATTTTGCCGCACCAGAGGAAAGCTGTAGTTGGTGTTGGAGCTAAAAAGTGGAGGCTATAGATCCAGCTATATGGCCTGGGATCGGTTCGGTTCGGATCGGATTGGATTGGATCGGATCGGATCGGAACGTGGCATGCCTCTCTGTTCCGCGCGTGCAGGCAACAAACAAATACAAATGTGTTTTCTTGTTTCGTTTGTTAGGATGTCGGAATTGGGGGGGGAGGTGGGGGGGGGGGGGTTGGCGGTTGGAAAAAACAAAACAATCATTGAACGCTAAACAGGTTTTTCTCGTGCTCACGCTTTTCCGCCTCCTTGGCTTGCTTTTAGCTTTGGCTTTGGCTTTTCGGCATCAACTTCGTTCGGTTTTGGCTTGCAAAACATGCCTGGCCAAAGCCAAAGCCAAAGCCAAAGCCAATGCCTTACCCTCGAGTCATCGCCCACGCGAGATTTCCAGAAATTGGCCATGCCATCGAATCGAATCAAAACAAAGCGGCAATCAAAACAAAAGACGATTCGCTGCACTTAGAAAATAAAAACTCATATTATCAGTATCAAAAGAAACACCAAAATGTTTTGTCAAATTTATTATAACATCAAAAAATCAAAAATATAATTGATTCGCAAAGCACAAGATTGCAAATAAAAATTTTAAAAGTTTTTAGAGGTAGTTAATTTCAGGTTCTTCTAAAAGTTGAACTCTGATCTTGAGTTATTATCCAACTGTAATTTTTAAAAATATTATGTTAGAACATTCCGTTTGCCACAGTGCACTTCTATGAAAACCAAATTCACGCCAAGGATAAAACCTCATGCAAACTCAAGCTAATTCAGTGCCTTTTGTTGGATCTCAACAACGCCAGCAATTGTTGAGACTTAAGTTTTGCTGAGTTGAGGAAAATGCGCTTCTTTGTTGCCACTTCAACTGCAGTTAAGAGCCGAGATGAAAAGCTGCACTTAAAGATAAGCACAGTGCCTGCTCTCACATTAAAAGCTCTGCAGGGGTTTTTTTTTAACATAAAACAAAAAATAAAACCTGAGTTGAATGTATTTTGTATACGTTTCTGTAATTTTTCCAAGTTCATATTATTCAATAAGTAATAGTATTTTAAATACAATATTTGAAATAAAAATGTTATAATGTTTAGCTTAACTCATGGAAATATATCTCATGATCTGTATAATAATTTAAATTCATATTTTAATAAGTAAGTAATAATAAATAATTCACTCAATTTAAAAACCAGCAAATTTATGTTGAATGGTTATTTATTAGATTTTAATTGGCATATGTCATTATATAAGTAAATAGAAAAAAGAATAATATTTTAATAATATAATAATTTAAATTCAATTTTTAATAAGTTTATTAAAAGTTTTATTAAAGTTAAAAACTAGCTACGTTTTCTAATGCCGCAATCTTATTTTGACTGGATATTTATTTGATTTAAGTTGTCTTTGCCAGTGTCATTTTGAAATGTAGTCCGGAAATTGGAATTATCGAAGAACCACTGTACGTGTCTTCCTTACCGTTTTTTATTATGTTTAGCTGATGTGCAAAAGTGACAGTTGAGTCGTTTGATTTGTTGTTTTATTCACGCCCCCACGTGCTTTTCTGTGGGTGTGTATTCTGTGTGTGTTGGTGTGTGACTGACATTTTAGCAAAGAAAAACACGCAAATGTTTGCCATCCTCCCCATACGCCCCCACATTTCCACAATTGCCTAGTAAATTAGTCTTTATGGACAATCGCTTGATTTTGTTTATCTTTTCTGGTTCTTTTTCCTTGCTTCGTTCTCAGTGTATTTGCGTTTCCTAACTGCCTTTCGTAACTCATTTCCTACATTATTTATTTCTGTTAATTGCCTAACGTTTTTTCTGTTGCCCCCCCCCAACAATTAAGTCAGTAAAGTTCCAGAAATAAATTAAGAAAACGTATTGCATTTTTAACTGCAATGCCACAATAATTCAAATTCTTCGTAAAACATTTGTTTTATTAATTTAATGTTTTGAATTTATGATAGGATTTTGTGTTAAAAAGCGGGCCGTTGAAAATCCCATTAGCCCATTAAAAAAATTTGTGGGCCAAGATATGCCAGCTGACTTCACCTGCCATGCGACCACTTTGCCCTGATTATATTTCTATTATTTTGGCTATTACTTCATCAGGCCCATCATCATCGCAAACTGTGGCGATAACTTCCGCCCGACTTCTGATAAGATATGGTATATAGTACATCCCTTTCTGGGTGTGCGAGTGCTTTTTTTTTTTGTTTTTTGCGTGTGTGTGTGTGGCCCAAAAAGAATCGTTTTCCGAGTGCGAAGAAAGCTCTCCTCAAGGTTGACATCTGCCTCTGCCCCCCCCCCAACATCATCATGATTAAAATTAAATTATTGCGCTGCAGCTGTCAGCGAACCGGTTCCAAAAATAAAACAGCCAAAAAATTATTTCCACTAATTTCATTCTCATTTTCGTTTACATTTACGAATTTCTTGCTGCTGGCGGCAAAGCCTACAAAATTAATTTTACTTGACTTTACTTAACTTTTTCGTTTCTATCTTATCGCGCTTCGAATTTACAATTAAAGGAACAACAAATCGAAGATGTTGAGTGGCGCATATCTATATGTACGTGGGTAGGTGTACGGCGTACAGTTGCGGACAAAACTATAGAGCTGTGTCAATGCGTTTTCCAAAACTCAAACGAATAAGATATGTAAATGCAGCTAATAAAAAAAGAGCTAACGCATAACAATTTTCGTAATTTGCAATTGCAAAGGATAAGATGAGTAATAATCGTTTTGATAGAAAAATAAATAAATAAAATAAATAAATATTGATACAAAAACACGTATTCAACATTAAGAATTATGTTTCAAAAAATACATTTTACTTAGCTATTGCTCTATAGTTTTGACCTTAGTTGTGTCTAACTTCCCACACCACAACTTATTTTTTCCACCGAAAATGTTTTCAAAGACGAACATTTGTATTGGCTAGGTATTTATTTTGCCGGCAGTTTTTATTAGCCAGATGTGCCATATATAGTATAGTATTTTTGAAGCATACGTGTGTGCGAGTGCTGTGAATGGCACTTGACATTTGCTAACTGCTTTTCGGTTTGCCTTCTCTCGTCATTTCTATTTTGAAACGTCAATTGCAACCGCCGTCTTAAGTCTCTAGTCTCTAGTATTTGTATCTGTAGTTGGTATCTGTATCTGTAGTCTTTCAATAGCTTTAATTTGTATATGTATCTGTATCCCGTTGTGGACTCTCAACTCGAGATGATTGCCTGACTGACTTCGACTGACCTTTTGATGTTGCCACACGTCGTAGTCTCCGTTTTTGCAATTTCCATTTACAATTTCTGCAACTCATATTGCACACTACTTGGCCACTAGTGATGGCAAAAATGTTGGAGCACATAATTAGCTCTTTCTTAAGTAAGTTTTTACTTTAATTATATTGTTTCCATATGATGATTGTAATTATTATTAAATTTATGTGTATTGTGAGCTAAGTTCAACACAATTATCTAGGCTATACCACTCAAGTAGCTTCGATAATAACAATATGATGAAAAGGAAATTTAAAGGGGCAACTTTAAATAAAAATCTTAATAAAAAAAAAGCACATAAAAGATTACTGCCTCCGACAGTTATTGAACAATCCTTGTAAACTCCTTATAAACCTTTAACCCTTTTACAAAACTCTCCATAATATTTAGTTGAATATTTTCTTAAACCCAAGTTGTTTACAAGTTTTGGCATTAACCTTGTGTGCCAACTAAATAGCTAAGTTATAGAATGTATATACTCTCCCATTGCCGAGAAATCGAGCCAAAAAGTGAGGCACAAAAAAAAATGCGGGCCAAGAAAATGCGATACAAATACGAGCGAAACCAATGGTAGTCTCAGAAGTAATCCGGGTCAGTTGGGAATTTATGGAATGGTGGCTATGGATGTGGATGTGAATGTGGATGTGCGTAGACCAGGTAAACGAACGTGCACAGTTAATAATAATGTGTGAATGAATACAAATAAACCGTTTAAGCACCGCAGCAAAAAAATGATACGGAAAACCGCTCCCACAAAACCCAATTGTAGCATTTTTTTTTCTTCCCCCCCCCACGTTCATAGTTGATTATGTTGCGGGCATGTGGGCTGGTAAATGGGTTGAGTTCAGTTCGGTTTGGTTTGGTTATTAAGCCATTAACACACAGGGCAATGCTAATTAACTACGCACTCGAAATAATATTTTAATTGCCTGCAATTGGTGCGTAAAATTTAATTTAAACTGGAGTTTAAGGCGCTTCAAATTAACGCTGGATAATTGTTGACGCCTTGTTATCGTACTTGGAATGAATAGCTGTTAAATATATATTTAACTAATAGCTATAAATAAATATTAATTTTGAAGTTTCAAGTTTTAATGAATATATAGTATTTAATTGGACACTTCATGGCCGTTTAGAAGTTTACAAAGTTTTTTTTTTTTTTGCGGATTTCAAGTGGAGTTTCGAATGCCAAACTTCTCACAACCTTGTTCTTGATCAGTCTGTAGCATTTTCAACTCCCTCTCCCCTTCACTCCCCTGCAACAATTTGTGTTTATTTTCGTATTTATATATTTTTGTTCTATAGTGGCAACTGGTACTTACATACGTGAAAGCAACAGTGCAGGCTGGCTTATCTAACGAATACAAATATGCACACAGCCGTATACGCACATTGATTGCCTGGCGTTGGGGCCATTTGAAGTAAAGCCGGCTGTCGACGCCGGCAGCAACAGAAATGGAAAAAAATATGAGCAAATAAAAAAGGCTGGCAACGGCAATCAACAAGTAAACTTCGCACACACACGGCTGATGACATCATCGCCATCGCATCGACATTGTCGTTTTATATGATGTGTTTTAGCTGCTTCTCAGCTGCAGCAATGCCTCTGATCTACAGTAAATATTAGCTAAAAGAGTTTGCGAAATTGTAGTCTGTAAATACCTATTATAACTTCTAATTACCGATATTTAGGGATAACAATTAAAGCCCGAAGTAATGGTTAAATAAGAAACTGTAACTCCTAATTTCCGATATTCCGACAAAAAAGACCCAAGTTTTAAATGCATCAGTCAGTTACATAATTAAATAGAAAAAGTATATTACCCAATGCAAATTATTTACCCAATGATGTGTTTTTAGGAATAATTTTAAATGAATAATTTGGTTTGCGTTAAATTTTTTTTTGACAAGTCAAGAAATCATTAGTAATAAATGTCTCACACACAAAATTTTATTTAGTGAATAACTTTAAAGCTTTTTCAGTTAAACAAATAATAAAATTCATATTTTTAATCAAATATAAAGATTATTATTAATTAATTTCGGGTTTTATTTTTTAAGCACAACAGAACAGCCTTAAAATGGCTATCTTAAGATGTAATTTTAGACCATTACCAGTCAATACTCACTGTGGACTGTCATTGCCTTGCGTTTGCCAACTCCTCATCCATCCATTTTTCTATCTGCGTAGTCACAAATGTATCTTTTCCTGTGCTGGCCTTGGCAGTGCAGCGATGCAGAATTCTCGTTTGGCTTGGTTCCACATAGCGTCTTGGCTTTGAGTCGCTTCCGGTCCCTAAAAACGCCGGCAAACAAAGCACCTCGATGGTTGGCTCATCACGCGACGGTGAAGGCAGAACGCTTATGGTGATGATGATGACGATGATGTCACATGATGGAATTTTTATGTTGTTTTATTTTGTTAAATTTTGTTTGATTTATTTATCGGTAATTGCCGGCACGCGATGTGGCATTATGTCCATTAAGTGGTCAGAAGGCAATGTCCAATCGCTGGAAAAATGCCCAGTCTGCTGAATGTGACCCACATTAACACTTGATTGTTATTTGTAATTGGTAAAACTTGACAAGTAAACATTTGCTGTTGAGCAATTTCCATAATTTCCTGTAATTTCTTAATTTGTAAACATTTGAATTAATCAAAAATATCTTTGCCATTTGGCAGGCCTCAACCATCGATGGCCGACGAAAGGGCGCCTGTTTGTTCTGCCAGGAGTACTTCATGGACCTGTACCTGCTGGCCGAGCTGAAGACGATCAGTTTGAAGGTGACGACTGTCGACATGCAGAAGCCGCCGCCCGACTTTCGCACCAACTTCGAGGCCACACACCCGCCAATCCTCATCGACAACGGACTGGCCATTCTCGAGAACGAGAAGATCGAGCGGCACATCATGAAGAACATCCCCGGTGGCTACAATCTCTTCGTGCAGGACAAGGATGTGGCCACGCTGATCGAGAACCTGTACGTCAAGTTGAAGCTGATGCTGGTGAAGAAGGACGAGGCGAAGAACAATGCCCTGCTCTCGCATCTGCGCAAGATCAACGATCATTTGGCCCCGCGCAACACGCGTTTCCTCACCGGCGACACCATGTGCTGCTTCGACTGCGAGCTGATGCCACGCCTCCAGCACATCCGTGTGGCGGGCAAGTACTTTGTGGACTTTGAGATCCCGGTAAGCATTTGGCGTTGTCCGAGTGATTGAATACATTTCGGGCGCTCAAAATTGCACTAGTGCATTTACCAACACAATAAGAAGAAAAGATTTTATTTGGATTAGGGAAGAGAAAAAAAACGTTAATGTTATAATCTTGTCTAGGTTTTATTATCATCACAAAGAAGAAACGAAACATTAATGTAAAAGGATCTAAACAGTCGATCTGCAGCATAGCATAGTTTAGTTGAGCATAGAAACACAATGCTAAGACACAAAATGGTTGTTGTATAAAATAACAAGATTAAACCGAACTAACTATGATTTTAGCTAAGCAATATATGTAATATTTTGTTGAGCTGCTTTGAAAAACAGGTTAAAAAGCATTATTTATAGGCATTCGTAGTGGACTTATAGACCAAAACAATTAAATAAACGTATTAGCTATCTATGACTCACCGTTTTACTATGTGGACTTATTGCAGACGCACTTGACGGCGCTGTGGCGTTACATGTATCACATGTACCAGCTCGACGCCTTCACACAATCGTGCCCGGCCGACCAGGACATCATCAATCACTACAAGCTGCAACAGGTGCGAATCTTGTCATATTTCTAGTTGCCACTTTTCACCAACCTTTAACCCTTTGCAGAGTCTCAAAATGAAGAAGCACGAGGAGCTGGAGATGCCCACATTTACCACATCCATTCCAATTGATATTTCGGAGTAGGTTTCCTAGGGAGCAGAGCCATGCAGCCACACATCAACTTATAGTATACAGCAACCACAATATTTTGGACAACTTTACAACAACAACAACAACAACAACAACAACAGCAGCAGCAGCAACTCTGAGGACTATACATAGATGTATACTTAACGGATAAAACTACCCAAGCATATATTATAATATATATATATATATATATATTATATACCTACTATAAATAACGAGTACATAACAAGGATAACAAGTGTTTTTTAAGCAGCCGCGTTGCCTTTCTTCAGCTATGCTTAATTTAAACCTAAACCTATGCCTATTTAAGCACTAGCCACAACCAATCGAGCAGGCTTTGACTTACTTTGACTTACTTTGCCCGCCCGCATGTATTTTTGTTTAACTAATAATGATCCATTTGTATTTGAGATACAGATGTCCAGATGTCAATTAAATTATATCGATTGCCTGAACAGCCGCTTCTCGGTCTCGGCCACAGTTTTTTTCTTACTTTATATTTTGTATTCTGCGAGGAGCTTTTTTTTTTTTTTTGTATTTGAAGACAATCTGTATTTTTTTTTTTGCAAAATTATGATTTTTGATTTTTTTTTTGCTCCCTGGCGCAAGTTGCCATTTTGTTCGCTTTTAATTTTTTATTTAAATATTTTTATCATATAAAAAAAACAAAAAAAAAAAATAGAAGAGGAAATGAAGAGTATTTTTTGTATTTAAGTGAAAAATTACAAATAAAAAACACAAAAAGACAAATATGGCTTTTTAATTTGATGAGGGATTGAAAATAGTATTGTATTGACTATTTGTTTTCATTTTTTTTAATAAAAAGCATTATTTTGTGAGCCAATACTAAAAAGCCAAAACATTGGTGAAGTAAAAAATAACTAAAAAATTAAATGGAATGCCATTAAACTCTTTTAATAACCCAATCAGTTGGTGGAGTAGTGATCAAGAGCATATTTTACTGATAAAATCTTCAAATCAAAAGATAACTATCACAATGAGTTCAACATAATAGTCAACAGTTTTATTGTATAGTTTGGCTTTGTCATTCACAATAAAAATATATACTAAGCCGATGAACACAATTAATTTTAGCCTATTGTTTGGTTGGACCAAAGCAATAACTTTCTTAGTTCATCTGGCCCAATCACCATATCACATTTGGCCCTAGCCTGAGCGGGATAATGGTCCAATACATACATGATCCTCAGGAACGCATCGAGGGATCCGTGGCGTGATGTTCGCGGTGGTGCGGCAACTTGGGTGGCATCTTGAAGGGCCGGATAAACTTGATGTTCGTCCTGAGGCAATCGGGCAGCTGAGTGGGTGCCAGCAGGCTGTGCAGGAAGAGGTGGGTCAGGTAGCCGGTGATGCCCCAGATGCGGTGGTGGTCCACCACGAACACCGGTCCGCTGTAGCCGCTGCGGAATTGGGTGTGCCTGGTAGCCTTGGGCACCATCAGCGCTTGGAGCGGCACGCTGAACGCCTCCTCCACCTCCTCGCAGTTAAGGCGCAGCTCGGAGATGCTGAAGTCCGGCACCATGCCCACCACCGGCACAATGGACGAGGTGCGCGGCAGATGAAGCTGCTTGGCCTCGCCCCACACCTGGATGCGGTGGCGCGGCAGCCCGATCTCCTCCTCCGTCTCGCGCAGAGCGCAGTCCACGTAGCTGGCGTCCTGGTCGTCCCGCCTGCCGCCCGGAAAGGATATCTGGAAGCTGTGACTGCGCAGGTGCCGTGATCGTCGCGTGTAGAGCAGGGATATCTCGTCTCTGGAGGTACAAAAGTGGATTAGATTTAGATAAAGAATTCAACTCGTTCTTGTTGGGCTTAACTCAGGTCCGGAGTGCATTTAATAAGTTCTCAGATAAAATTAATCGAAACTGTTTAAATTAACTTTGTAACATGTTTCAAAATATATATACATATATTCAAAATGTATTAATAGAATATTTAAATAACATTTAAAAAAGTTTAGCTAACTATCGATTCAAATAATAATAATAATAATTTCTGTTATGTAGGTATATACATATATATTTACCATTATACTAAATGGCCTTTTAATAAACAATTGTTAATATTTTGAAAAGCTTCTGATTCAGTTAAAAAGGGATAAAAGGGTTACAACAGGAGAAACGATTGCAAAAGATTGCAAAAATTCTTCAAATCAAGAGGACTTCAAAGGGATAAAGATGGAGCATGTTTGGTGACGCGAATTCTTTAGAGCAAGAGGATATGACAAGGGATTAATTTTATAATTAAATAAAAAACAATCAATCGGACAGAATTCAGCACAAGAGGATTTCAAAAGGATAAAGGATGACCATATTTGGAAGCATTAATCGTTCAATAACATAAGCCCTCGAATTCTTTGGGGCAAGAGAATATGACTTAATTGATTTGATCCAACTTGGAGAAAATGTAGCTAGGGATCTCACGAAGTTAAGATTGAGATTATTGAACTTCGTAAAATGGGGACTCCAGGGGAGGATTAGTGGACTACTCACGTGCCCCGATCCTGGCAGAGTGCGATTAGGACCGCGGAGGACTGCTTCTCGCGGCGACTGGGCGTCAGGGACTTGGGCCGCGGGAATGCAGGCAGAGCGCGCATCTTCTCCATGCACCTACGCTGCGATTCCGGCCCGAGGAGCTCCAGGGCATTCGGCTGGCGGGGATCTGGGGGCTCCGAAGACGACGTGCCGGCGGTGTGAGCGGAGGAGGAAGAGCCCAGGCGGTTCAGGTGGGACAGTAGCTGAGGCGCCCTCCGATTCGCCTGCATTAGGGACATCGTTTTTGGGATTGGATTGGATCCGAGGGAACCGTGATGTAAACAAACGTGAACGAAACGAACTTTGGAATGGGTAAAAATACCAAAACAGAGTGGTTAACAGCCGATTGTGTGCTGTTAGGCGCTTAACAGGGCTGCTGAATCAGCTGGTTTGAAAATACCAAAATTTAACATAAGCGTTAAATTCAAACTTAAAAAAAAAGGATATTTTTAAAAGGATTGATTTTCACAGTCTTTCAATTATTACGACTTTATGTAATAAAACAAATAGGTTTTTAAATTTAATCTTCTTCTGATTCAGTTTTTTCCGATACGAAATATAACACTTCAAGTGCAAGTGTTTTAAGCCACGATTTATTAAGCCAATAAAAAAAAAAATAGTGATAAATTAATGTAATACGCAAAAAAAAATTGTAGAAAAAAAATAATATTCGAAAAAAAATGAAAATTACAATTAATGTTGAACACATTTGAATCTTACAAGAATCATATCAAGTTATCTTATATTTCGTGTACGTGTATATATTTGACCACTATCATTATGAAAACAGAATCTCGATGAAAAACTTATTTTGAACTAAACATAGGTCGAAAAATGCTATCAAATCGCAACAAATTTTAAAAAAATAAGTTTTTTTTAGAAATACGAAAAAAATAGAAATTAGAAATTAGAAAATATTTTTCTTAATTTTTTTATTAGGTTTTACATCAGGTTTTATTTTGCGAAAATTTCACAATTTAAAAATGTCGAGGTTTGGATGACAATCGATTTGCAATTTTATTACGAGTTCATTATTGTGGCCTAAGTAAAAGATATTCGCCTTAACTACCAATTCTAACTTGAATTAGGATTAGCAATTTTGCATATGAATTGATATTTATCATTTATAAGGATCAGATCGGACTTTCCGGGGCCCTCAATGAATTCACTATATGTCATATCCGTAAAGGTTATTAGACTAATAAGACTCTTCACATACTCCTCATTGATATCCTTTTTTGGCAAGGACTCGGAGCTACAAGTTTCCGTAAGGTCCACCACTTCTATTTCGCTACTTTTGTCCTTGATAGCGATAAAATGGTTTTGCATTATAACGTACTTCTCCACCAGATCGAAAAGAACTCTTTCGCTTATAGAGCCCTTTATACGGGTTACGACTTCTCTGAAGGTATTCGATTCCAGTTGATAAACCTCGTCGGTTATAATCTGCGAGCTGCACCAATTTCTCAGGGCCTGTGAGGTGTGCGTGATCATATACTCATTACCGGACTTAAACGCACTGTCAAAGTAGATCAGTAGGTCGGAGAGGACCATCTGGTTAATTCTCGACACGGCGATCTCCTCGCAGGCCTTCCTTAGCGATGGAATCATCCACATGTGGGCACACTCCATCAGCTTTACGATCGACTTGTTGTTGCAGCCAGCGAGTGTGTCCTTGTTGTAGGTATAGATATAGGTTCGAAATTTCTTGAAAGTATCTGCCGACACGTTCTCCAGATGTACTTCCCCAGTCGCAGTTTCCTTGAATCCGCGCTTGAAGAAGTCCGAGGCGGCGGCCAACATCACCTTGTGGCACGGGAAGGCCTGCGACTCCACGATTACACGGCAGTCCACAAAGTCCTCCTTTTCGATGAGGCTTTTAAAGGCACTGGATAGCCTTTAGAAATTCAGTTTTCCATGGGTAAGTGAAGCTGAAAGCGTATATGTATTTTGTATATCTTACCATAACTCCATGCTTGAACGTCCTACTCGGTAGGTTGCTGTACACCAACTAAAATACTTTAGAAAAGTCTACAAATGCTCGAAAAAAACTGGAAGTTTAAGGCAAAGCCTTCTACTCATATATAAAAAACACACGTTCGCTAGAGAAAAAAAGCAAACAAACATAGATTTATATATTCAATTAAGCTCGATGTTACCGAATACTAGGCTTAAATAAGAAACATAAATATGTTAATAAAAGCATATTAAAAAAGAAATGGAAACACAAAAAATCTATGATATGATACTTAAATATTTTATTAAACTATTTCAAATAAAAATACTATTTTTCGTGTTCTTTTTTTTATGAGTACAATAGTTTTGTAGTTCGTAATCACTTAATTTAATCGGGAAAAGATTACATAGTAGCTGATAATACGTAACAAAATTGATAAGATTCTTGTTACTACCATTATTAAATATTATAGTGGATCAATTTGAGTTACAGTAATTTCGAGATCTATGACCTTATATGAAATTAGGAACTAAGATGCCATAAAACTAGTTTCATTTATAAATTTAAAAGATAGGGAACTAGTTAAAAAGTACAAATAATATTTAAATAAATGATCATAATAATAATTCCGATGATTCATAATTCTGACCCCCAATATTCCTCAAAATATTTTATTACAAGGACAAGAGGGGTTTTTCATTTTTTAAAACGTTTTATTAAAATTTGTCGACGCTTGGGGATCGGCTGCACAAAAAAATATATATTTATACATATATATATATATATTTATATATATATATATATTATTTATATATATTATATATATATATAAATATATATACATTGCATTTATTTAATGGTAAACGCCTGTGTTAACGCTAAATGTTGTTATTCCTTAGGTAATCGGTATGCAAAATGTTTGTTTGTTTTTTCTTTTCCTTGTGGATCGCAATGGCATAATTGTTGATTTTTTGGGGGATTTTCAAGGGATTTTCAAGAGATTTTCGAAATATCCGAGTGTTACCAGTGTCCATGGCTCTGTCCGGGTAAAGGTACTGCTTACAACTTACAACTATTAAACATTACTTTCGTTATTGGCGGCGGCCTGCTTGGCTGCCGATCCTCCTCCAGTTGCCACCCGGGTGCGGGTAAATTTGCTAATGGACGTGGGTGATCCGGATGCAGCGGCGGTGGCGGCGGCGGCGGCAGCTGCGTCCAACCGGAGACTATTCCCGGCCGGATAGACGCAGCCCTTGCCCCGTCTGCGTCCCGCCGGAGAGCCCCTATCACCGAATTGTACTAGATGGCTGGTGGTGGCATTGGCGGTGATGCCGGCGGTGCTGCCGGCGGTGCTGCTAGCCACCAGATGATCCTGATCTGCGCTTCTGGAGTAGAAGAACTCCTCGGAGGAGAGGCGCTTCCGTACCCTTCCGCCCACCACATCCGGTCGCTTGCCATTGCTGAGTTGTGCGGGCGTGGGCGAGGCGGGGGCCACCAGGGCTGGGGTCTCCATCTCCATGTTGCTGCTGCTGCTGCCATCGCCGAGGACAGGAAAGTGGGACTCCAGGACCCCCGGGCGCATCAGTATCTCCTCGGGCAGATGGGGTCCACCGTTTTGGCGGGCCGGCGTGCTGGCAAATTGATCCAGCGATGAGCTGGCACTGTAGAAACTGGTGTCCGTGGAGCCCACTCCCAATCCGCTAACACCGACATCGACACCAGCATCACCAGCACCAGCACCAGCACCACCACCACCACCACTCGTACATCTGCCATGCTCGGAGCGGGTGCAGCAGCCACGCTGGACATCCCGATCGCAGGGACAGTGGGGACACAGCCGCAGACAGTCCGCATCCGCCAGGATGTCGCTGTCGCTGAAGGTCAACTTCTTGGCCGGCTGCCTAGCGGCCTTGGCGTCCGGATCCAACCCGTCCAGCGGGTCGGCGGACTTGGAGCTCTGCACCGCATTGGTGCCGGGCGGCAGGAGCAGCTGGACGCGTTGCAGGCTGTGGGCCGAGGCGGACTCGAAGCTGTCGCCGCTGGAGTCCAGGCTGCGGCCCACCATGGGCGGCGACGACGATTGGTCGGGAAAGATGCGCGGAAAGGTGATGAACACACGTCCCAGCCGCTTGTACTGGTCCAGATTCCTGGTGTCCTCGGCACAGCCGGCTAGATTCTCGCTGAACTTGGGCGCCCGCCTCATGACCTTGGGCGTGTGCAGCTGCGACTCGAAGATGTCCTCGAGTGGTACCTTCGCAGCACCCACACCAACGCCCATGTGCTGCAGATATCGCTCAATGCTGTTGGCCAGACTGATGGGCACACTGGTGCGCGACGAGACGCTGGAGATTTCGGAGAGCGTTTCGGGACTGGCGAGCGGGGCCAGGCCATACCAGTCGTCGTGGAGCAGGTCCACGCCCGGCACAGCCATCCCAGCGTCCGAGGCTCGCCGCGGGGCCTGGACTTGGGCCAGCGGCAGGGAGCGCGGCTTCTTCTCGGAGTGCTGGCGCCCGAGCACGGACCTCTCCGGCGGCAGCGATGGGGGCGGCGTAAGGGCCATGTCAAAGGCGACCGCCTTGAGCCGTGGCATGGCAATCTCGTCCAGGTCGGTGTCCGTGTGATTGCCAATCACCGTGGCCGTCGTCTCCGCACTGATCAGCGAGGGACTCTGGCGCAGGGCCACCGTGGCCAGGCTGTCGTCCAGAGCGCTTGATATGTCATACGGCGTGGTGGTCGAGCTCAAGAGCGAGGAGGCCGCCGAGGTCAGGCGCTGCGAAGCTGCAGCGGGAGCGGGAGCGGGCGGTACGGATCCGTTCGTAAAGGACGTCTCCAGGCAGAGCTTGTGCTGGGCCGTTGGCGTCAGGACGAGACAGTTGCTCAGACTCGTGTAGGAACTTTGCGATGGCCGCTTGCAGTGATGCAATTGCGATTGCGATTGTGACATCATGGTCGGCATCCGATCCGTTTCCGGTTCCGCTTCTGACCTCATGGCATCCGTCGTCGTCTCACTGCGGTTGCTGCAATGCGGCGGCTCCAGATCCGTATCGTGGGCATCGTGCGAACCCGTGGAGAATGCATTGGAGGTCTGGCGCTGGGGCTTGCGTGGCCCACTCGTTGTTACAACCTAGAGTAGCGAGTAGCGAGAGTGAAACAGAGATCAGTTTTTGCTTGGGCTTGGTCATTTATGCAGCTTAGGTCTAAGTTGAAGTCCTACTGGAATGTTTAATGTTTATTGATTGGTTGATTGATCAGGATGTATTTCTTTTTTGCTTAGATTTATATCCTTTGAATTGAGATTAGAGAGAAAAAGCTCTTTACTTTTTTTTAAAGAATAGCATTTTTTTTTTATATACATTACACAAGTTTATATGTTATGTTAACTTAGTTATTTTCTTTTTTGACAGTTTCACTGATCAAGCAACCAATCAATCCTGATTTGTACAGCTCGTAGTTACATAGAAATGCAGAGAGAGTCGAGAAGATGTTGCGAGCGAGAGACAGAACGAGCGAGAGTTGGATGCAGATGCATGTATGTACAGTTTCACAGATGAGCAAGAGTGGAAAGAGACAGATGCAGATGCAAGTAGCGAGTGGCATGACTAAGTACAGTTGCGTCAAAGTTGTAAGCGAGTAGGGTGTAAAGGGTACAGTAGTTGCTCATGGTTCGATAGTTCGCTGTGGTGAAATGCGGTTTGTGGGTGGGTGGGAGCTTACGAGTGCGAGACACAATATCGAGATTGGTTTTCGTTGTACATACACAGCGAGTACGATTACATTTAGATAGTTTAGTTTACAAAATTGATAGGTTGTTGGTTTTTGTTTGAGGTTAGGTTGAGAGCGGGAGAGAGAAATATACATAGAGAGAGATAGAGAGAGACTTGTATAATTCGATTGACATATTTAAGAATTTTGTTTGGTTTTTAACGAGAGCAAAATGGAAAGTTGCTTTTTAGTCTTTTGTTTAATGATAACAATTTTATATAGAAGTTGGCGGGCGGCTGTACCTGGTATCTGTATTTTGTGTTGTCGTAGTTGTTGTTGTAGTTGTAACTGTTGTAGTTGTAGTTATTGTCGTGTTATCATTACGTCTACGAGTGGTACATGCCTTTACGGTTCGATCTCTACAAGACACGACCTGTGCACATCATCGGATGATCGGGTCACATACAAATCGTTAACAACGGAATTCGTTAATCGGTTAACGATAATCGTTAAGTTTCATAAAAGAAGCAAAATAAAAGCATAATTAAGTACATTAGTGGTTACACAAAAGTTCGTCACACACATTAGCTATGATCTTGAGCGGATCATCAAGGGGTTGGACGGGTTTAGAATCGATTCAAGGTGTTATCCTAAAGCCTGATCTACTACTACTCTCTCATTGCAACTAGCACACGGCTAGTACGGAGGCCTCCTCCCAGCTCAGCAAAAGCGAATATGTTTTGTCTACCATAATTGTTTTTTTTTTTTTTTTTTTTTTTTTTTGCCATTCCATAAGCTTTACAACAACTTTTAACAACCATTCCCATGCAGCAGATGTTTCTGAGGGGGCTGTGTACTTGTTTTATGGCGGAGTTGTATTTATGTGTTATGTAGTTAAAGTATAATTAAAAGTCCAACTGAATAAACTTACCAAATCAAACTCCACATAAGGAACTTAAATCAAATCATCATGAAACGTGAGGGCTACTTGCTATAAAAATAAAACCGGCACAACACCTCTTTCCATTTAGCGGAGATATCTTCTAATCCAACGAAATTGGAATTAACTCGACATTCGGGTGGAGTAGACAGGGAGTGCAAATACTTTATTTCTCCCCATAATTGATTTCAAAGGCAATCTTAAGCAATAAATAAATTAAACATATTTAAGTACATACAAGTGAGTGTATATTCATCATACAAAAAAAAAAAACAAACAGTTTAAACTTTAAAGTGAAAAAATATAAGAGATAATTGGAGAGCGTGATAGAAACACGGAGATTTAGACAACAAAATGCAAATTACATCTTTTCAACTTATACGATAAATGGACAATGGTTACTTAAGCAATAAAAACTAAATACAAGTATATAAATATCAATATAAATATAACTTAGAGATAACTGTAAACATTCAAAGTCCATTGTCAATGCCTCACACAGCGATAAATACAATAGGGTAACTGGATTTTGGGTATGCATGTGTGGTGCTGGCTAAGTATCGGTTCTTTACTCTGGACATATGTATAATATATCAAAGCAAAATTTCTCAGATATCGAACAAAAGGCAATAAATAAATACAAACAAATCAATGTCGAACATTTTAGCGTTATTGAAATTATAAGCGATAGTTGGCCTTAGACTAGATAACGTTAAACGTAATTGAGTTTACATATACATAGATAAATAGGCATCGGTGTAAATATGCTTGTCATGACTGTGGGTGTGGTGTTGCGTGTTAACTGTTCGAGTGGCTCTTGTGGTTGGTGAGTTGTGTGGGTGGTTTGTGGTCGTTGAGTGGCTGGCGGATCTGCGACCTCCAACCTTAATGCTAAACTAGGGGCAAGGTACAGTACAGTACGATACAGTAGACGAACCAACTAACTAGATCGGTGCTGCGTACTCTAGATATGCTAAGGGCTATAGTTCGACTATATACGGTTCTAGGACAACGACGAAGACGACGGGGTGTGGGGTATAGGGTGTCAACGATCGATCATTCATTCCATTCAACTCGAGTTCAATTCCATTGCCATCCATTCGACTGGCCCTGCTCAACTGGCTGTGGAATAGCTGTGCACCGAAGAGCCGCGCTCGTCGTCGAACTCGGCAATTACCTTCTTCAGGGCGGCGAGGACCTTGTCGGGCATGTGATCCTGCAGCATCACCGGCGAGATGAGAACCTCATCGAAGTCCGTGGAGTCGGCCCAGATGGCCTGGTATACGGGCTCCCGATTCTTCAGCACATTTCTGCAAAATACACAAGAGCTTCGATGAAATTCTCTCCTTTTTGTGGGTATTGTATTAAGCTATATGTATCTACTCTCTAAAGTGTTACGGGAAGTCCTTCCAACTAAATTCCAAAGGGGATCGATTTACGCGTTCACGGAAATCTCTTTCACTTAGTCAAGCTTTTTCTTGTTATACCAAAAACTATATTTGTTTACTGTATATCAAAGTGTTATCTATTATCTATTTGATTAATTAGAGTATGATATACTATCTACAATAAGAAAGACATTTATCACAACTACATAAGTTTGTATAAGTAAACAGCATGGTTCTTATTATTTTGTATATCTACATTTATTTTAATTAGAATAGCACTAATTTTCAGTCAGGTCAAGTTTATCTCTACATATATATCTACAAACATAGGTATTAATATGGTTCGATTATTGTAACATTTATGTTATTGTATTTTGAAGTTAGGATTCAATTGGTATCTATAATTTAATAAATTAATATAAATGCACTAATCTTGAAAGGATTTCCGTGACCTTGCGCATAGTAGAAGAGTTATTAGTCTAAACTTTCGGGGCTTATATCATGCTGGGTCTACAAATTCGAACACAACTCATAAGGATCACAACTGATAATACCCGGACTCATTTACGAGAGTGAGAGAGGGCGACAACGAGAGAAAGAGAGGGGGAGAGTCCAAAGGCCTCTTTACAGGAGTTGAGTTTACATCTGAGGGTTTGGTATTTATAATGGCTTAAAAAAAAAACAAACTGTAATATCTTAGATATCTTAAGAATTAAGATCCTGTAAAAAAGCCTTGAGAAAGGAATGGGGCGATGCATGCATCGGTGATTGTCTCATGCAACAAAGATTAACCAAAACGAAATGGAACACTTCTAATTGATTAAATAGAACTAGGGAATAATTCTCGGACTGCCACTAGTCAACACACAAACCAAACAAGCTAGGACACAGAGAAAGTAGTGTGCGAAAGAGAGAGTTATTGAGATTGAGAGAAAGTGAGAAAGAGAAAGAGAGAGGGCGAGCACAAACACGGGCAGAGTGGGATAGACATAGACAAAAAGAAAGAGACAGGAGAGATAGAGACAGAGACAGAGAGATCGAGTTGAGTTACTGCAGCGCTGCTCAAGCTCTTCTTCTTCATCTTCTTCTTCTTTCAATCTTTTGGATGCGTATTCTCGTATCTGTATCTGTATCTGTGTGCGACGCGGTCTGTGGATGTGTGGGTGCGTGTGTGTTTGCGCGTGTGTCGTTGTGTGTGTGCCTACCTCCAACCACTGTCGTATTTTTGCCTGAAAAACATTTTGGTAACATTAATTTCTTTTCTCATTTACGGATTTTTTGGGGACATGGGGCGCAACAAATAAGAAATCGACCAAACACGTTCAGCAACACAAATCATAACGAAACAAGAGGACAAAACCAAACTCATATAAACGATACATAACTACTAAAAAATAGTCGCTCGAGAACTCCGTCAACTTTGAGCTACCACAATGGTCTGCATTTAAATCTTTCTGATAACAAATACAATACAATGTAATGTGATTGATTAAAAATCAATTCACAATATTATCATTTTTTCAATTATCCTGATGATGTGCTGTCTAACGTCTCAAAAATATAAACATATAGTACAATATAATAGTTGACTCATAGATAGTTTCAAGCAGCAGTTCATAATCAAAGTAACGTTAATATGTTATATTAATTCTGATTATTTTTAACTGAAAAAAGATTTAATTAATTCTTAAAACAGTTATACTTTCTATATTAATTCTGCCCCTAATAAAGGTTCAATTTAATTGATCTTAAAAATGTCACGCATTGTTGTTAATCAAATTTCTCTCTTTCGCTGACTATCGGAATTTAAAATTGTGATACTCTCTTATTTAAGACTGTCTCAAGAAACCGTATAGCTGGGAATTCAATATGGTCCCACATTCTGTATGTAGTCGCGTTGCAGCCAACGAAATGGGGCACTTGTGAACGCAGTAATTGAGGCAGCACGTTTCGGTCATAATTCACGTGGGTATGCCCCGTATGTCTGTGGCCGTCAATTAGAGGCTGCCATTGAGGCCAAAAGGGACCCAACCGCGATGGAGAGGGTTCATTGTTCCCCCTACCCCCCCCTCAAGAGGACTTCAAAGGGATAAAGATGGAGCATGTTTGGTGACGCGAATTCTTTAGAGCAAGAGGATATGACAAGGGATTAATTTTATAATTAAATAAAAAACAATCAATCGGACAGAATTCAGCACAAGAGGATTTCAAAAGGATAAAGGAGGACCATATTTGGAGGCATTAATCGTTCAATAACATAAGCCCTCGAATTCTTTGGGGCAAGAGGATATGACTTAATTGATTTGATCCAACTTGGAGAAAATGTAGCTAGGGATCTCACGAAGTTAAGATTGAGATTATTGAACTTCGTAAAATGGGGGACTCCAGGGGAGGATTAGTGGACTACTCACGTGCCCCGATCCTGGCAGAGTGCGATTAGGACCGCGGAGGACTGCTTCTCGCGGCGACTGGGCGTCAGGGACTTGGGCCGCGGGAATGCAGGCAGAGCGCGCATCTTCTCCATGCACCTACGCTGCGATTCCGGTCCGAGGAGCTCCAGGGCATTCGGCTGGCGGGGATCTGGGGGCTCCGAAGACGACGTGCCGGCGGTGGCAGCGGAGGAGGAAGAGCCCAGGCGGTTCAGGTGGGACAGTAGCTGAGGCGCCCTCCGATTCGCCTGCATTAGGGACATCGTTTTTGGGATTGTATTGGATCCGAGGGAACCGTGATGTAAACAAACGTGAACGAAACGAACTTTGGAATGGGTAAAAATACCAAAACAGAGTGCTTAACAGCCGATTGTGTGCTGTTAGGCGCTTAACAGGGCTGCTGAATCAGCTGGTTTGAAAATACCAAAATTTAACATAAGCGTTAAATTCAAACTTAAAAAAAAGTATATTTTTAAAAGGATTGATTTTCACAGTCTTTCAATTATTACGACTTTATGTAATAAAACAAATAGGTTTTTAAATTTAATCTTCTTCTGATTCAGTTTTTTTCCGATACGAAATATAACACTTCAAGTGCAAGTGTTTTAAGCCACGATTTATTAAGCCAATAAAAAAAAAGTAGTGATAAATTAATGTAATACGCAAAAAGAATTGTAGAAAAAAAATAATATTCGAAAAAAAAAATGAAAATTACAATTAATGTTGAACACATTTGAATCTTACAAGAATCATATCAAGTTATCTTATATTTCGTGTACGTGTATATATTTGACCACTATCATTATGAAAACAGAATCTCGATGAAAAACTTATTTTGAACTAAACATAGGTCGAAAAATGCTATCAAATCGCAACAAATTTTAAAAAAATAAGTTTTTTTTAGAAATACGAAAAAAATAGAAATTAGAAATTAGAAAATATTTTTCTTAATTTTTTTATTAGGTTTTACATCAGGTTTTATTTTGCGAAAATTTCACAATTTAAAAATGTCGAGGTTTGGATGACAATCGATTTGCAATTTTATTACGAGTTCATTATTGTGGCCTAAGTAAAAGATATTCGCCTTAACTACCAATTCTAACTTGAATTAGGATTAGCAATTTTGCATATGAATTGATATTTATCATTTATAAGGATCAGATCGGACTTTCCGGGGCCCTCAATGAATTCACTATATGTCATATCCGTAAAGGTTATTAGACTAATAAGACTCTTCACATACTCCTCATTGATATCCTTTTTTGGCAAGGACTCGGAGCTACAAGTTTCCGTAAGGTCCACCACTTCTATTTCGCTACTTTTGTCCTTGATAGCGATAAAATGGTTTTGCATTATAACGTACTTCTCCACCAGATCGAAAAGAACTCTTTCGCTTATAGAGCCCTTTATACGGGTTACGACTTCTCTGAAGGTATTCGATTCCAGTTGATAAACCTCGTCGGTTATAATCTGCGAGCTGCACCAATTTCTCAGGGCCTGTGAGGTGTGCGTGATCATATACTCATTACCGGACTTAAACGCACTGTCAAAGTAGATCAGTAGGTCGGAGAGGACCATCTGGTTAATTCTCGACACGGCGATCTCCTCGCAGGCCTTCCTTAGCGATGGAATCATCCACATGTGGGCACACTCCATCAGCTTTACGATCGACTTGTTGTTGCAGCCAGCGAGTGTGTCCTTGTTGTAGGTATAGATATAGGTTCGAAATTTCTTGAAAGTATCTGCCGACACGTTCTCCAGATGTACTTCCCCAGTCGCAGTTTCCTTGAATCCGCGCTTGAAGAAGTCCGAGGCGGCGGCCAACATCACCTTGTGGCACGGGAAGGCCTGCGACTCCACGATTACACGGCAGTCCACAAAGTCCTCCTTTTCGATGAGGCTTTTAAAGGCACTGGATAGCCTTTAGAAATTCAGTTTTCCATGGGTAAGTGAAGCTGAAAGCGTATATGTATTTTGTATATCTTACCATAACTCCATGCTTGAACGTCCTACTCGGTAGGTTGCTGTACACCAACTAAAATACTTTAGAAAAGTCTACAAATGCTCGAAAAAAACTGGAAGTTTAAGGCAAAGCCTTCTACTCATATATAAAAAACACACGTTCGCTAGAGAAAAAAAGCAAACAAACATAGATTTATATATTCAATTAAGCTCGATGTTACCGAATACTAGGCTTAAATAAGAAACATAAATATGTTAATAAAAGCATATTAAAAAAGAAATGGAAACACAAAAAATCTATGATATGATACTTAAATATTTTATTAAACTATTTCAAATAAAAATACTATTTTTCGTGTTCTTTTTTTTTATGAGTACAATAGTTTTGTAGTTCGTAATCACTTAATTTAATCGGGAAAAGATTACATAGTAGCTGATAATACGTAACAAAATTGATAAGATTCTTGTTACTACCATTATTAAATATTATAGTGGATCAATTTGAGTTACAGTAATTTCGAGATCTATGACCTTATATGAAATTAGGAACTAAGATGCCATAAAACTAGTTTCATTTATAAATTTAAAAGATAGGGAACTAGTTAAAAAGTACAAATAATATTTAAATAAATGATCATAATAATAATTCCGATGATTCATAATTCTGACCCCCAATATTCCTCAAAATATTTTATTACAAGGACAAGAGGGGTTTTTCATTTTTTAAAACGTTTTATTAAAATTTGTCGACGCTTGGGGATCGGCTGCACAAAAAAATATATATTTATACATATATATATATATTTATATATATATATATATTATTTATATATATTATATATATATATAAATATATATACATTGCATTTATTTAATGGTAAACGCCTGTGTTAACGCTAAATGTTGTTATTCCTTAGGTAATCGGTATGCAAAATGTTTGTTTGTTTTTTCTTTTCCTTGTGGATCGCAATGGCATAATTGTTGATTTTTTGGGGGATTTTCAAGGGATTTTCAAGAGATTTTCGAAATATCCGAGTGTTACCAGTGTCCATGGCTCTGTCCGGGTAAAGGTACTGCTTACAACTTACAACTATTAAACATTACTTTCGTTATTGGCGGCGGCCTGCTTGGCTGCCGATCCTCCTCCAGTTGCCACCCGGGTGCGGGTAAATTTGCTAATGGACGTGGGTGATCCGGATGCAGCGGCGGTGGCGGCGGCGGCGGCAGCTGCGTCCAACCGGAGACTATTCCCGGCCGGATAGACGCAGCCCTTGCCCCGTCTGCGTCCCGCCGGAGAGCCCCTATCACCGAATTGTACTAGATGGCTGGTGGTGGCATTGGCGGTGATGCCGGCGGTGCTGCCGGCGGTGCTGCTAGCCACCAGATGATCCTGATCTGCGCTTCTGGAGTAGAAGAACTCCTCGGAGGAGAGGCGCTTCCGTACCCTTCCGCCCACCACATCCGGTCGCTTGCCATTGCTGAGTTGTGCGGGCGTGGGCGAGGCGGGGGCCACCAGGGCTGGGGTCTCCATCTCCATGTTGCTGCTGCTGCTGCCATCGCCGAGGACAGGAAAGTGGGACTCCAGGACCCCCGGGCGCATCAGTATCTCCTCGGGCAGATGGGGTCCACCGTTTTGGCGGGCCGGCGTGCTGGCAAATTGATCCAGCGATGAGCTGGCACTGTAGAAACTGGTGTCCGTGGAGCCCACTCCCAATCCGCTAACACCGACATCGACACCAGCATCACCAGCACCAGCACCACCACCACCACCACTCGTACATCTGCCATGCTCGGAGCGGGTGCAGCAGCCACGCTGGACATCCCGATCGCAGGGACAGTGGGGACACAGCCGCAGACAGTCCGCATCCGCCAGGATGTCGCTGTCGCTGAAGGTCAACTTCTTGGCCGGCTGCCTAGCGGCCTTGGCGTCCGGATCCAACCCGTCCAGCGGGTCGGCGGACTTGGAGCTCTGCACCGCATTGGTGCCGGGCGGCAGGAGCAGCTGGACGCGTTGCAGGCTGTGGGCCGAGGCGGACTCGAAGCTGTCGCCGCTGGAGTCCAGGCTGCGGCCCACCATGGGCGGCGACGACGATTGGTCGGGAAAGATGCGCGGAAAGGTGATGAACACACGTCCCAGCCGCTTGTACTGGTCCAGATTCCTGGTGTCCTCGGCACAGCCGGCTAGATTCTCGCTGAACTTGGGCGCCCGCCTCATGACCTTGGGCGTGTGCAGCTGCGACTCGAAGATGTCCTCGAGTGGTACCTTCGCAGCACCCACACCAACGCCCATGTGCTGCAGATATCGCTCAATGCTGTTGGCCAGACTGATGGGCACACTGGTGCGCGACGAGACGCTGGAGATTTCGGAGAGCGTTTCGGGACTGGCGAGCGGGGCCAGGCCATACCAGTCGTCGTGGAGCAGGTCCACGCCCGGCACAGCCATCCCAGCGTCCGAGGCTCGCCGCAGGGCCTGGACTTGGGCCAGCGGCAGGGAGCGCGGCTTCTTCTCGGAGTGCTGGCGCCCGAGCACGGACCCCTCCGGCGGCAGCGATGGGGGCGGCGTAAGGGCCATGTCAAAGGCGACCGCCTTGAGCCGTGGCATGGCAATCTCGTCCAGGTCGGTGTCCGTGTGATTGCCAATCACCGTGGCCGTCGTCTCCGCACTGATCAGCGAGGGACTCTGGCGCAGGGCCACCGTGGCCAGGCTGTCGTCCAGAGCGCTTGATATGTCATACGGCGTGGTGGTCGAGCTCAAGAGCGAGGAGGCCGCCGAGGTCAGGCGCTGCGAAGCTGCAGCGGGAGCGGGAGCGGGCGGTACGGATCCGTTCGTAAAGGACGTCTCCAGGCAGAGCTTGTGCTGGGCCGTTGGCGTCAGGACGAGACAGTTGCTCAGACTCGTGTAGGAACTTTGCGATGGCCGCTTGCAGTGATGCAATTGCGATTGCGATTGTGACATCATGGTCGGCATCCGATCCGTTTCCGGTTCCGCTTCTGACCTCATGGCATCCGTCGTCGTCTCACTGCGGTTGCTGCAATGCGGCGGCTCCAGATCCGTATCGTGGGCATCGTGCGAACCCGTGGAGAATGCATTGGAGGTCTGGCGCTGGGGCTTGCGTGGCCCACTCGTTGTTACAACCTAGAGTAGCGAGTAGCGAGAGTGAAACAGAGATCAGTTTTTGCTTGGGCTTGGTCATTTATGCAGCTTAGGTCTAAGTTGAAGTCCTACTGGAATGTTTAATGTTTATTGATTGGTTGATTGATCAGGATGTATTTCTTTTTTGCTTAGATTTATATCCTTTGAATTGAGATTAGAGAGAAAAAGCTCTTTACTTTTTTTTAAAGAATAGCATTTTTTTTTTATATACATTACACAAGTTTATATGTTATGTTAACTTAGTTATTTTCTTTTTTGACAGTTTCACTGATCAAGCAACCAATCAATCCTGATTTGTACAGCTCGTAGTTACATAGAAATGCAGAGAGAGTCGAGAAGATGTTGCGAGCGAGAGACAGAACGAGCGAGAGTTGGATGCAGATGCATGTATGTACAGTTTCACAGATGAGCAAGAGTGGAAAGAGACAGATGCAGATGCAAGTAGCGAGTGGCATGACTAAGTACAGTTGCGTCAAAGTTGTAAGCGAGTAGGGTGTAAAGGGTACAGTAGTTGCTCATGGTTCGATAGTTCGCTGTGGTGAAATGCGGTTTGTGGGTGGGTGGGAGCTTACGAGTGCGAGACACAATATCGAGATTGGTTTTCGTTGTACATACACAGCGAGTACGATTACATTTAGATAGTTTAGTTTACAAAATTGATAGGTTGTTGGTTTTTGTTTGAGGTTAGGTTGAGAGCGGGAGAGAGAAATATACATAGAGAGAGATAGAGAGAGACTTGTATAATTCGATTGACATATTTAAGAATTTTGTTTGGTTTTTAACGAGAGCAAAATGGAAAGTTGCTTTTTAGTCTTTTGTTTAATGATAACAATTTTATATAGAAGTTGGCGGGCGGCTGTACCTGGTATCTGTATTTTGTGTTGTCGTAGTTGTTGTTGTAGTTGTAACTGTTGTAGTTGTAGTTATTGTCGTGTTATCATTACGTCTACGAGTGGTACATGCCTTTACGGTTCGATCTCTACAAGACACGACCTGTGCACATCATCGGATGATCGGGTCACATACAAATCGTTAACAACGGAATTCGTTAATCGGTTAACGATAATCGTTAAGTTTCATAAAAGAAGCAAAATAAAAGCATAATTAAGTACATTAGTGGTTACACAAAAGTTCGTCACACACATTAGCTATGATCTTGAGCGGATCATCAAGGGGTTGGACGGGTTTAGAATCGATTCAAGGTGTTATCCTAAAGCCTGATCTACTACTACTCTCTCATTGCAACTAGCACACGGCTAGTACGGAGGCCTCCTCCCAGCTCAGCAAAAGCGAATATGTTTTGTCTACCATAATTGTTTTTTTTTTTTTTTTTTTTTTTTTTTTTGCCATTCCATAAGCTTTACAACAACTTTTAACAACCATTCCCATGCAGCAGATGTTTCTGAGGGGGGCTGTGTACTTGTTTTATGGCGGAGTTGTATTTATGTGTTATGTAGTTAAAGTATAATTAAAAGTCCAACTGAATAAACTTACCAAATCAAACTCCACATAAGGAACTTAAATCAAATCATCATGAAACGTGAGGGCTACTTGCTATAAAAATAAAACCGGCACAACACCTCTTTCCATTTAGCGGAGATATCTTCTAATCCAACGAAATTGGAATTAACTCGACATTCGGGTGGAGTAGACAGGGAGTGCAAATACTTTATTTCTCCCCATAATTGATTTCAAAGGCAATCTTAAGCAATAAATAAATTAAACATATTTAAGTACATACAAGTGAGTGTATATTCATCATACAAAAAAAAAAAACAAACAGTTTAAACTTTAAAGTGAAAAAATATAAGAGATAATTGGAGAGCGTGATAGAAACACGGAGATTTAGACAACAAAATGCAAATTACATCTTTTCAACTTATACGATAAATGGACAATGGTTACTTAAGCAATAAAAACTAAATACAAGTATATAAATATCAATATAAATATAACTTAGAGATAACTGTAAACATTCAAAGTCCATTGTCAATGCCTCACACAGCGATAAATACAATAGGGTAACTGGATTTTGGGTATGCATGTGTGGTGCTGGCTAAGTATCGGTTCTTTACTCTGGACATATGTATAATATATCAAAGCAAAATTTCTCAGATATCGAACAAAAGGCAATAAATAAATACAAACAAATCAATGTCGAACATTTTAGCGTTATTGAAATTATAAGCGATAGTTGGCCTTAGACTAGATAACGTTAAACGTAATTGAGTTTACATATACATAGATAAATAGGCATCGGTGTAAATATGCTTGTCATGACTGTGGGTGTGGTGTTGCGTGTTAACTGTTCGAGTGGCTCTTGTGGTTGGTGAGTTGTGTGGGTGGTTTGTGGTCGTTGAGTGGCTGGCGGATCTGCGACCTCCAACCTTAATGCTAAACTAGGGGCAAGGTACAGTACAGTACGATACAGTAGACGAACCAACTAACTAGATCGGTGCTGCGTACTCTAGATATGCTAAGGGCTATAGTTCGACTATATACGGTTCTAGGACAACGACGAAGACGACGGGGTGTGGGGTATAGGGTGTCAACGATCGATCATTCATTCCATTCAACTCGAGTTCAATTCCATTGCCATCCATTCGACTGGCCCTGCTCAACTGGCTGTGGAATAGCTGTGCACCGAAGAGCCGCGCTCGTCGTCGAACTCGGCAATTACCTTCTTCAGGGCGGCGAGGACCTTGTCGGGCATGTGATCCTGCAGCATCACCGGCGAGATGAGAACCTCATCGAAGTCCGTGGAGTCGGCCCAGATGGCCTGGTATACGGGCTCCCGATTCTTCAGCACATTTCTGCAAAATACACAAGAGCTTCGATGAAATTCTCTCCTTTTTGTGGGTATTGTATTAAGCTATATGTATCTACTCTCTAAAGTGTTACGGGAAGTCCTTCCAACTAAATTCCAAAGGGGATCGATTTACGCGTTCACGGAAATCTCTTTCACTTAGTCAAGCTTTTTCTTGTTATACCAAAAACTATATTTGTTTACTGTATATCAAAGTGTTATCTATTATCTATTTGATTAATTAGAGTATGATATACTATCTACAATAAGAAAGACATTTATCACAACTACATAAGTTTGTATAAGTAAACAGCATGGTTCTTATTATTTTGTATATCTACATTTATTTTAATTAGAATAGCACTAATTTTCAGTCAGGTCAAGTTTATCTCTACATATATATCTACAAACATAGGTATTAATATGGTTCGATTATTGTAACATTTATGTTATTGTATTTTGAAGTTAGGATTCAATTGGTATCTATAATTTAATAAATTAATATAAATGCACTAATCTTGAAAGGATTTCCGTGACCTTGCGCATAGTAGAAGAGTTATTAGTCTAAACTTTCGGGGCTTATATCATGCTGGGTCTACAAATTCGAACACAACTCATAAGGATCACAACTGATAATACCCGGACTCATTTACGAGAGTGAGAGAGGGCGACAACGAGAGAAAGAGAGGGGGAGAGTCCAAAGGCCTCTTTACAGGAGTTGAGTTTACATCTGAGGGTTTGGTATTTATAATGGCTTAAAAAAAAAACAAACTGTAATATCTTAGATATCTTAAGAATTAAGATCCTGTAAAAAAGCCTTGAGAAAGGAATGGGGCGATGCATGCATCGGTGATTGTCTCATGCAACAAAGATTAACCAAAACGAAATGGAACACTTCTAATTGATTAAATAGAACTAGGGAATAATTCTCGGACTGCCACTAGTCAACACACAAACCAAACAAGCTAGGACACAGAGAAAGTAGTGTGCGAAAGAGAGAGTTATTGAGATTGAGAGAAAGTGAGAAAGAGAAAGAGAGAGGGCGAGCACAAACACGGGCAGAGTGGGATAGACATAGACAAAAAGAAAGAGACAGGAGAGATAGAGACAGAGACAGAGAGATCGAGTTGAGTTACTGCAGCGCTGCTCAAGCTCTTCTTCTTCATCTTCTTCTTCTTTCAATCTTTTGGATGCGTATTCTCGTATCTGTATCTGTATCTGTGTGCGACGCGGTCTGTGGATGTGTGGGTGCGTGTGTGTTTGCGCGTGTGTCGTTGTGTGTGTGCCTACCTCCAACCACTGTCGTATTTTTGCCTGAAAAACATTTTGGTAACATTAATTTCTTTTCTCATTTACGGATTTTTTGGGGACATGGGGCGCAACAAATAAGAAATCGACCAAACACGTTCAGCAACACAAATCATAACGAAACAAGAGGACAAAACCAAACTCATATAAACGATACATAACTACTAAAAAATAGTCGCTCGAGAACTCCGTCAACTTTGAGCTACCACAATGGTCTGCATTTAAATCTTTCTGATAACAAATACAATACAATGTAATGTGATTGATTAAAAATCAATTCACAATATTATCATTTTTTCAATTATCCTGATGATGTGCTGTCTAACGTCTCAAAAATATAAACATATAGTACAATATAATAGTTGACTCATAGATAGTTTCAAGCAGCAGTTCATAATCAAAGTAACGTTAATATGTTATATTAATTCTGATTATTTTTAACTGAAAAAAGATTTAATTAATTCTTAAAACAGTTATACTTTCTATATTAATTCTGCCCCTAATAAAGGTTCAATTTAATTGATCTTAAAAATGTCACGCATTGTTGTTAATCAAATTTCTCTCTTTCGCTGACTATCGGAATTTAAAATTGTGATACTCTCTTATTTAAGACTGTCTCAAGAAACCGTATAGCTGGGAATTCAATATGGTCCCACATTCTGTATGTAGTCGCGTTGCAGCCAACGAAATGGGGCACTTGTGAACGCAGTAATTGAGGCAGCACGTTTCGGTCATAATTCACGTGGGTATGCCCCGTATGTCTGTGGCCGTCAATTAGAGGCTGCCATTGAGGCCAAAAGGGACCCAACCGCGATGGAGAGGGTTCATTGTTCCCCCTACCCCCCCCCTGTGGCCGTCAATTAGAGGCTGCCATTGAGGCCAAAAGGGACCCAACCGCGATGGAGAGGGTTCATTGTTCCCCCCCCTCCACCCCTTCAAACCGATGACGGAATCATCAGCTCGGCCTATCGGACAACCAATGACGCCATTGGCAGATGAGTCAGTTGCGGATCAGGCTTGACATTTCACTCCATCACTCTCACTTCGGCGATAAGCGCCTGGCTATCGCACCTCAATTAGCACAGACCTTGGGCCAGAGGCGGATCTCGGATCTCGAATCTCGAATCGCGAATCGCGAATCACGAATCAAACACAAAAAACATCAACAAATAAATCAGGGAAGGGGGGTCAGGAGGTCAGGTTTCGAGATCGAGGAGGAAACAATTGCGGATGCGGATTCAGATTTGGATTCCGATTCTGATTCTGATTCGGAATCGAATTTGGCCAGCTGTCGCACTTATTTCCAGCTCGTCGACAGATTGGCTTGGCTCTACTCACTCGTCGGGCTTGGGATGATGTCGCACTATATGGATGATGCGACCGGGCGGATATAAGGGCTGGTGCAGGGTTAAAGCTATCGAGCTGTCCGTGGGATGAGCGCTGGTCGAACGGGCTGTTCCGCGCTCCTAAAATTGAACAACAACAATTAATAACTTTCGTTGAACTGATTTTTTGAAGAGGGCAAATACCTCCTGGTACTGATTGATGTGCGTGTCCTGGCCGGACATGTTCACCACGGAAGTGGGCTCCGGTCCACAGCCACAGCAGATGACCGAACAGGAAATTGTCTTCCACTACAACGATAGACAAAATGTAATAATATAGTGTATAATACATATTGTTTAATAAACTGAATGGTGTTTTACATTTTACATTTTTCAGACTTTGGCAATAAAAATCACATTTTTAAGGTTACTTTTGTTGTCACTTGGCCAAAATAGAATGCATGGCCAAAATACAGATTGTTTTTTAAATTAAAAAAAAATGTTTTCTAAATTTTTATTGATTTTTTTTTAGGAGGTTGATTTAATTTCAAACTTTGGGCATAATTTTTCAGGGTTTTAATAAAAAATTCTGGAACCTAATGGGATATTATTGTCAAACTTTTGTCAATAAAAAAGAGAGGTTTTTTCGTCTTGTAAATGGGTAAAATTAAGACGCAACAAACCTTGGGATCCACGCTGCGCTGGATGGCATTGATGAGATCCGCTCGCAGGGCTTCCATTTGGTTGAGACCGATGCGCGGCACCACGTCCTTGCCGAGCACCACCGAGGTGATGAACGACTTGGAGTACTCCACGGCGGGCATACTGTAAAATGAATGACCAGATGAGCATGCGATAGGAAATCAAATGGGACAAATCTTGGGCGGAAATCCAACCTGAGCAGACCGCCGGGCGGGGAGTAACTGAAGCACTGGAGCGTCGGATAGTCGGGCTTCAGCAGGATGGCCAGTATGGCCGCTGTGCCGGCGCCCAGGGAATGACCCACCAGCACCAGGTCGAAGGTGGGCGTCTGGCGGTCCGGATTCCGCTGCAGCGCCCTCTCGATGAGATTCTCCTCCTGCAGCTTGTTGCGTATGTAGATCGCCGCCTGCACCATGCCCTTGTGACCCAACCAATCGTCACGCGGCGGCTGCAGTGGCAGCACCTCGCCCTCCGCATTCAGATCCGTGAGTATGTCCTTCATGCTTAGTGTGCCACGTATGCTAATCACCACCGCCCGATGGGTGTAGTCGACGGCCACGAAGAAGGGCGTCTCGCCCACGTCCACGTGGTAGGTGGCATACACGATGTCGATGTCGCCCAGCTGCAGCGTCTTCTTCAGCGCCGCGTAGTTGCACAGGCAGCAATTGTCCTGGATTACCTCCGTATCCTCATTACTGCCACAGCAGCAGCCGAAACATCTGCGAATATCGGATTCAGAATGGGTTAAATAAATGAGCTGGAAATCAAACATTAAAAAAAAAAAAAAAATTCATTAAAAAAAATAAAATGTGGAAATGAAAAATATACCTCTGTATACAAAACAAAAATGTAACGAACCATTAGTTTTTATAAATATTAATATTCCACAATTTCCTATTAAAAATAAATTTAAACATGCAAAACCTTATTTTGATTATTAAATAAAATTGTTTTCTCGGCACCAAGCACAATAAGTAAAAGGATTTTTCCATTAAAAGTTTTCATAAAAGCGTCAAAAACTCCTGTCAACGAAAGTAAAAAAAACAGCGCTACGCAAATGCACATAAAAATGTTGTGGTGTTAAAAAGTTGCACAACGCGGTATTTCTTTTTGTGCAATTGAGTGTTGAGCGTTCATATAAGATGAAGCATATTGAACATACATTTTTTATATAAATTTATTGAGTTTTTGGAAAAAAAAGAAAAAAACTATATGAGCAATTTTGTATATTATTATTATTATTAATATTGTAAAATCACTTATCAGTGCAAAACTGTTTGTATTTTCCTGTTAAACCACATTTTGTTCAATTAATTACCCTTAAAAAAGTATATTATATATTTCTATGCTTCATTTGCTTAAATGGAGGTTTCCATTCGAGCACCCATCCTACATTTGCCGTACTCACTTCAGTTCCGGCACCAGGTGCCACATCTTGCTGCGATTGATGATGACGTACATGGGCCAACCGTAGGCGCCCTGGGCAAAGTACATGTAATGGATGACCGTCTGAAAGAAGTCGTAGTTTTTGGCATCGTTGAGTGCTAGGAACTGGGTCCGCTCCGTAATTGGTACGCCGCTGAGGAACTCGTAGGTGCCATTTTTGCGCTGCCGGACGATGGCCTCGCGCTCCAGCCGCTGGAACTTGCGGAGCAGGACGAGTCCGGCGACCACGTCCGATGGCACCACGTCCAGCTCCCGAAAGAAGTCGCTCAGCAGGCGGGCGATGTCCGTGAACGAGTTGCGGTTGCGCTCCGAGGAGCCCATGCAGCAGAACAGCAGGCGGCAGCGATGGTCCCAGCTGTCCTGGTAGGCGCGCATCACTTTTCTGTTGAAGACAAACATTTATGGGTTAGACTTCTTTCCAATGACGATTGCAATGTTTCGTTTCTCTATTCAGTCTACTACCCATCATTATTTTGAGTTTTGAGTTTATTGCAGTTGTAACTCTATATTTTACTGATCCAAAACCAATATTTATTGAAATTGAACTCTTTAAAATCACTGTATTACAAAAACCCATAACAATCTAGGTATTTCGTCTGTTTTTATTTATTCTTATTTATTTTTTTTTCTACAATTATTTTTTGCTATTATATTTCGCGCTAGTGACGTGAGTAATAATAAGTCAAAATTAAAAGTATTTATAACAAATAGGCCAACTCATATCAAGATTGTAGCTCATATTAGCCTTGATCTAGGTAAACTTGAATTTATTTTTATTTGTTTAGAATTACCTTTGCCGCCAGTTGCGATTCATGCTGTTGCTCCGCTTATAATTGAACCGCGACTCCGTCTCGCGCATTGATCGCTGGTACTTCTTCATCTTTACCCAGGATCTTCCGGCAGCATCAAAGGTGCACCATATCGTGATGAGGGTGATCACCACCAGAGCCCAATTGCAGATGATGATGGCTGTGGATGGATAGGGAACTCATAGATTGAGGACACATCCAATTACATTCAATATAAACTAATAAGTAGTAAGCAAATCAAGTTGTCTTAGATAATCATTTTCAAACAGGTTCAATAAAAACGAGAAAATTGAAAACTTCTTCAGATATTTAATCTCTCTTAAATGGATTGTAAACTTGCTAAACCTATGCACATTATTGTTAGCTACAAAGATAAAACGCCATAGTTTAATGCATTAATATATAGTAGGTAAAAATTCTACTTATTGAAATGTAAATTCTAGGGAGACGCAATAGTTAAATGCATAAATATTTAATTGGAATACAGCTGTTTTAATTTTTACTTATGAAACTTTGTTGTTAGCTACAAATATAAATCGCCGTAATTCAATTCATAAATATTTAATAAGTAAAAATTCCAGTTATTGAAATGTAAATTTAAGGGAAGTGCAATGTTTAAATGCATAAATATTTAATTATACTTCAGCTGTTAAAAAAAAACAATAAATTAAAGGGCGATTACTAAGTTTACATTAAGATTTATGGTAAATGTAGTTTGAAATAGTAATGCCAAAGATAGAACTTACCTATATAGACCTTTTTGGGATCATCGATGGGTGCGGTGGTGTAGTAATGCCCCAGCCAAACGGAGCCCACCCCCAGCCAGGCAATATCGAACAGAATTACCACTGAAATGAATAAAATATTATCAATAAAAAATATACAGCGATTTTATGCAGGGACAACTTACAGCTCTTGAGATATATCCAGATGTTGATCGAGGTGCGCGCCTCGGCATCCAGAATACTGCCACGCATCGAGATCACACATATACCTATTTCTACACATATTGAAACTGCAAATGGATTTTTGAAGATGGATCCCATGGATATCGGAATTTAATACTTACAAAATAGAATCAACAAGTAGCCTGTTAGATGATAGAACAATAGTTTCACACTTAAAATTCGTGTATTATACTCAAAGATAACCAACGAGACGCTAACAATCACAAAACTGTCAAGACAATCAGTTCATATTTTTTTTTGGTGAAAGAATAGGAACAAGAAATATATTTGTAAACAATTAGGAAGTGACGATAAATACCGGAATGCGGATACTAACCATATAAAATGAATCGTCAGGAGAAATGCACCCGGCACCACGAGATCATCAGAGCCCACAGACCAGCGACGTCTGAAGACCACAAGTCCAGGCATCTGAAATCGAGAATATGCTTACGAAATTAGTTTTGGGTCAACTATTAAAGTTATCGAGAGACGTAACTTCAGGATTATTATGATGTAGCCGGCCGATAAAGTTGCAACATAAAAAGTTGAGTTAAATAAAAATAATTAAAAAAAAAAAAATAAAAAGTAGTACAAAAAATGTCACACTGCGTATGAATAATACATTTAACCAAAAGATTGAACAAACTTTATTGCTCATACGTAAAATGAATTTATCATTTGCAAAGATTATTATTTATAAATATTATTAAATTTTATTTTTAATTTTACCAAAATTGGTTTATCTTTAGGAAAAAATACAATTTAAAAATATAACAATCCATAAAATTTGGAAATGCAACACTGCGTATGAGTAATAAATCATGTTTGAGCTGTTGATTGTAAAATTACATATTTTATTCGTATTTTAAGCATCATAGCCAGTTATAACCTTCAAATTTATCAAGTGGGTCACAGCTTCTCCGGAATTCCGCGATATAAGCTTCCGTCTTAATAGCCAGATATGTGTGCTCTTGGAGCTGCTGTTGCGAATTAAAATCCCCCTGGAAAATCAACGGGCAGCCCTAGCAGTGTTCAAGTGCTAACTGGTAGTACAGTCATGACTGCATGTAAATATGCAAAGCGAACGACTTTAGACAGCTTAAGGTTCCGCCTCCACCCACTGTAGGCCCGCCTGTCGCTCCGTTCCCAATGCCCCCCCAGTGCAATGTAAAGCAAAACATAATCAGGGTTGGACATGAGCAGGGCGTGCTAAAAAGGGGGAGGGACAGATAAAACTACACAGAAAGAAATATAGCTGTATCAGTTTATATATTTTCTTCTGAGCTTGCACTTTAAATTTGCTTTCAACCATTTAAATAAAATTGTTTACATATACTTTTTTTTTATTAATTTTGATCCTTTATAAACAGCTTTTAAAAGATTTAATTATATTTTCCAATTTTACATATGATAGTTTTTCCTAAGTACTATTTTATGTATTCGCTTACACACAAAAGTTGACTATGAAATGCGTGAAATGTCGAGACACAACTTATTTAAATAAGGTGGCAACGCCGGGCGTAAAAGTAAAAAAATTTTAAATGTTATTCTTCTCGCGCTTTAAAGGTCATTGTTACTTAGTTTAATTGTTCGCTTAGGCGATGCTAAGTTAATAAAAGTACTATTAATCAGTTATAGCAGAGGTGCCAGACCTGTAAATAAAGTTGCAACGTCTGGGATCTCTGCTAATAATTTTTCATGAATTCGTCTGTATCTCATAAACAGGGGCTATTTCGATAACAAAAATTAATAAAATTTGTATTGTAAACATAGAACAATCCATAAAATCAATTAAAATGCTCTGAAAAGTTGACTTTGATGTCATATTTTAGAAACATTTTCTCTGAGTGTAACAACTTGTTTGGGGGATGTGGGCCATCATGTTCGAATCCCTCACCATAATCGCTCGCTTGACATTGCACCGGGGTCAGATAAGGCGGACCTAACATGGGAATCGTACAAGGGAATGCATACTAATATTTGCATATCCGGGCTCAGATTAGCTAGACTTTCACTAATGACGCCAAGACATGAACAACGGGTTTACTTATCAGCAGGCACGAAAATGCCAGTAAAATGATTCATAGTCCTAATCGGTGTCACAATCAATACATTTAATCAACTGCGATTGCAAAGTTCACTTGTGCCAAATCAACATTCGATATTATATATTTTCTAAGATTTGGCCGAGGCCTTATATATAGACTTTTGGTGGCCTCGAAGGCTGCAAAATAGGTTTATGAGCTGAGCTAATATAAACATAAACAGGCGAATAATAATAAACTTGCTGAGTGCCTCGAATATAACATAATATCTAAAGATATTTACCTAAACTATCCACCCGGAAATTTAGTACATGCGTAGGCATAATATCTTATAATGAGCTTCTTAGAATCTGTTTATGGTTTGTTAATCTATCTTTTAATTGATAAAATCAAGTAGCAAGTTGATTTGAATTTGCATTGCTCAAAGTAATAATAGTTTCCTAAGTTTTATAGCAAAAGTCATTAAGTAATCACTAAACAAACAAAATTAGCTTATCCATTAAAATGTAATTATCCATATTCATAACAAACTACCAAGACACATACAATCGCTACACGATTTAATTTATTTACTTGCCCAAGCCAAACAATTTTGTGAAAGAAAATTTCAGCATAAACAAACTATATAATCGATGGGGAAAATTTGAAATTTCCAAGAACTTAAAACCATTTCTTAAATTATTTTCAGATCTAATAGGTGAAGTTTTGTCAATTATGTTTTCATTTTAAATCTGTTAAATTACGTTTTAAGCTAAAATTGTTGAAAACGGAAGACCCACTACCTTTCGGTCTTAATTAAAAATATTGCTTTTTTTTTCAATTATATACGAACACCGTTTTGCTGATTTAAAATGCTGACCTTTCGAGAGATAAATATGTTCGTCTCATTCGTTATTTTCGGAGGACTTTTTGATGACAGATTTCATTGCTGCAATATTTATCACGTTCCTGAAAGCTTTAAGTCCGCTTCGTAATTTTAAAACTGACAGTTCTTATCGGCAAACATTTACCTTTTGCCAGCGAAATAACAAAGGTGAAGTGGCAGCAACTAAAAGCTCCAAAGGCCCGACGACATTGGCATTGGCATTGGCCTTCCTGAACTTTGCCCGACAACGGCCAACTGTGGCGACGACTGTGACGCTGCGGTGTCGATGTGGATGACGAGCCATGATTTTGCATTTATTTACACACCTTCTTGCTGTATGGCCAATGAGCCATGATATGGAAGCGGGGACAAGGACACGGATGCGGATCCGGACACGTATACGGACACGGACAGAAAAGAACAACGTAAAGGAAGCCGCTGGCAATTCGAAAACCCATTATACCAACTGCAGGTATGCATGGTCATTATAGCCCACTTTCTCCGCCCTTTCAACACTTAAATAAAACAAAATATTTCAGGAGATCCTAGAAACTAATTAAGCAACGATATGTGCTTCTATAATTTAATTAAATAAAACCATCATTTGTTAAATAATCAGAATTAAATAAAAAGGGTTTACCTTATTTGTCAAAATAAACATATCATTAAAGAAAAGTGGAATCCATTTAAGTTTAAGCGCATTTATTTTGTATTGTATCTACATATATATGCATAATTTATTCGAGTGTAGTGTGAAAAGCACACAGCTGTCGAAGAAGCCGTAATGGGGCAAGGGCAGAGTAATTGATGGCAATTACTCTTTTGTTTTGTCTCCGCCATATATCGCAGCGTATTCAATTATTCAGTTATTGCCATTATAAATGATAATAATTCCTGTCACGGTTATTGGCTGAATAATGATCCGTAGGGTAACTTACTTTGCACCATTTTTTGATTAGGTTTCTGGTGCTGTGTTCCTGGTCCCAATAAATCACATTCTTTTATTTTACTACAGGCCCCGCACGATAAGATAGTTCGATGCACGATGAACTTATCTATCTTGACAATTGGTGTACGATGTACGAACAGGTGGCATGCACTCAACAAACGACGGCACTCGAATTAACAATTTTCCCCCGATATCGTCTCAGTCAGGGAATGGGTAATCTGTGGTAAACAGCCTTGATGGGTGCAATTAACAACTGAATTTAAGATAAGCCATTTAAACAATTTCATACAAATATTCGTGTGAAAGGGTTAACGGTTTAATTATACGCTTTAGTTTCCGAAATCTATAAAAATGTATCTTTATCATTATTAAGCATAATTCATTTATCAAAATTCGGGGAATCTTCTTTCTGTACAAAAGGATTTTTTTTCTAGGAAATTATAGATGTTAATATTTCATTTATTAAAATTCATGGAAAACTATTTATTTCAAGCTCAAAATAGGAAAAAGGGATTATGTTTTTCAAGGACATTTTACAAACTAGTAACATTCATTTTGCACAATAAATGGATACATATTCTTTATCTTTATCTTTATCATTATTAAGCATAATTCATTTATCAAACTTCGGGGAATCTTCTTTGAATTCAAACTGTTCATAGCGAATTCATATTACAAATGGATTTTTTTTCTAGGAAATTATAGATGTTGATATTTCATTTATTAAAATTCATGGAAAACTATTTCAAGCTCAAAATAGGACAAAGGGATTATGTTTTTCAAGGACATTTTACAAACTAGTAACATTAATTTTGCACAATAAATGGATATATATTCTGATTTACTGAATAGAATTGATTCCCTGAAGGCAACAAGGTTGAAATTCATGTTTAAATGTCAAAAGCGCTTATATTATTTACCCTTCGTTTTGCACTTCTAAATGTCTGACTTTTTATAATTTGTAAGAGGTTGACAGCTTAGTTGCATTTTAATTTAAGTTTAGACCAGAGTGACAACATCGGTAAGCCAATAATTAAAACAGACGTGACTGATAATTCTTTATATATCTGTTATGTATTAATTGATTTTTAAGTTAAAATAAGAGAGAACGCTATAGTCGAGTTTTCCGACTAATTATATAGCCAACAAACTTTAAACTAAGCATTCCCCATACAAAACAATCGAAGTTTAGGTGGCGCCATCTGCGGAACTACTTTACGAGTAACGGGTACAAAAGGACGTATAACATCTACATAGCTCTTATTTTTTTTGACAACCTTTTCACATTTTCGATCAAACTTCAACAAAGTAAGAACTGAAACTTTGAACTAAATTCAAAATTAAATAGTCGTCCCCTTTTAATTATGGTTCAGGTTACCGAGGACATTTTCGGGATTGCGACCAATCCGTTTACGAAGAAGGCGCAGGTTGTTCGTCGCTATACGATGAGCAACGCCAATAACCTTTCGGTATCCATAATCCAACTAGGCGCCACGATCCAGAGTATTAAGATACCAGATGCCTATCACCAGGTGTCGGATGTGGTCCTCGGATTCGAAGATGTGGCTGG